CGTGACTTAAAAAGCGGGGGGGGGTTGGGGGGGGGCGCAGCCCCCCCCCCATTTGCAAACACAATCCTCGCACCATGGCTTTCGATACACGTGTATGCGTTGAAGCAAGCTTGTGCGACTTATAAAAAGAAGCCGAGAAGCATAAAGCTAAAAGCCGAGGAGAGCCAGGAAGCCAAGAAGCCAAGAAGCCAAAAAGCCGTGAAGCCAAGAGTCAGAACTCGGGGTTTTAGCGCCTCGAAATGCGTGTCGTGTGAAAGGGTCGTCAATCGTGCCCTGAAAACGTACCAAAACTCGAGTTTTGGCGTCTCGAGACGCGTTTCGTGTGAGAGGGTCGTCGATCGCGGCCTTATTTCTTGTTGATCCTGTTTATATTTTCTTGTTGATCCTTTTTTATTTTCTTTTTGATCCTTTTATATTTTTTTTTGATCCCTATCCCTTAGGGTTTAGGGATACAAGAACACAGATACCCATCAACTCACATACTCAAAACACAGCCGAAACAATATCCTAATCCCTAAACCCTAAACCCCAAACCCCACACCCCGTTTGTACAGGTTTCTGAGGCTTATGGGGAATGCACCTCAAGCCTCCAACACTGAAGCGGCTGGCGCAATCCTCACCACCCCAAAACCCCAAGAAAACACATGGGAGGTTCGCTAAATTATCGTCCCTCCCGGAGCCCTAAACCCTAAACCCTAACCCCTACACCCTACACCCTAAACCCTAAACCTGTCCCGAAACTCTGAACCTTATAGAGCCCTTTACACCCTATAGTTTTAGGGTTTAGCATTTAGGGCTGAGGGTTTAGGGTCTATAGGGTTTGGGGGTTAGGACAAAAACAACCCCATGCGTCCCTCTCAAACCCACCCCCCTCCGACCTCCCAAAAAAAGGCCCCCAAAAGCCCGAAATCCCTCCAACCCCGCACAAACCTGTCATGGCCCCAGCGTCAGGTTCAGGGCAGCCGCCGCGCACATCTCGATCGTGTTCCTGGGCTTCTAGGAATTAGGGATAAGGGCTATGGGGTTTAGGGATTTGGCAGCTTTAGACGTTTAGGGATTTAGGGTTTTGGAGGCTCAGGGACTCTAGGGATTTAGGGGCTTAGCGGCTAACCCTAAGCCCTGAGCCCGAAACCCTAAACCCTCAAAACCCTCAGGGAGGGCTTTTCGGAGTTGTAGGCGACAGGGCTATGGGGTTATGTGGTTTAGGGTTCAGGGTTTAGTTTAGGGTTTAGGGCTTAGGGTTTAGGGTTTAGGGTTTAGGGTTTAGGGTTTAGGGTTTAGGGTTTAGGGTTCAGGGTTTAGGGTTAGGTTTCTAAGGTTACAGGGTTGTAGGGTTAGGGTCCTATGGTTTAGGGATCAGACACTTGGGCGGTTGAAGTCACAAGAACCGAAACTTTGAGGCAACCTAGCAAAATATTCACTAAAATTTCCAGCCCCAAACCCTAATCCCTAAACCCTAAAATTTGAAGAACAAAAAAGGCATCCATCCTGAAGACCCCCAGGCCTCCTCGGCTCCAAGCCCCAAACCGGGAACCCCCCCCTCTAGGAAACCCTAGACCTCAAAACATCCTAACACTCCTGAACTCCGAAACCCTCGATAAGCCCCCCCAAACCCCACGACATCCTACACTTGGGATGCTCCCCCCTTATACTAGCAGTCCTTCATAGGGCTTATGAGAGGGGGTGCTACGATCCCTATTGAACCCCAAACCCCAAACCCCAAACCTTAAACCTAGTAGTATAAGGGGGGAACCTCCCAATCCTGAAACTCCTCTAAACTCCGAAACTCTCCGCAGCCCGGGGTGCGCGGTCGTGCAGTGCGCCGAGGTGTAGTGCTCGTTCGTGCCCCCGAGGCCATCCTGGTCCTCATTTTGTTAGGGGTTTGTTTAGGTTTTAGGGTTTAGGGCTTAGGGCTTAGGGCTTAGGGCTTAGGGCTTAGGGCTTAGGGCTTAGGGCTTAGGGCTTAGGTTTAGGGTTTAGGGTTTAGGGATTGGCTTACTTTGGGTTTGGGGCTCAGGGTTTAGGGTCCCTTAAAGCGTACACCATGATGTAGGGGTCGGAACAAGTACTATTTCGTAGCGTTCCCTTGTGCTCCCAATCCCCAAGACCCCATTCTACTTAAGGCCCCAAAATATTAAACCTCCCCACGGGTTTTACGTCTTGTGAAGCCTTGTGGCCCTGACTGAGCACCCTGGCGAGGGCACAGCGAAAGTCCGCAAACGACGACCGCGTCGAGACAAGCGCCAAGGGACCCACTGCGACCCGATTTGAGGGGGGGTTTACGAAAATGGGTGACCCAAAAATAGACCCGAAATAGTAGGATTCCCTTATGAATAGGACCCCAAGGAGGTACCCCAATTTCGGGAACCACCATGGAGCTTCGGAGCCCTCATTCAAACGACAAACTGGAATCGGGGCAAACAAGTGGAGCGCGCATCAGTTGTCGTCAACTGCCCTGCAGAGTTCAAAGGCCACAAGCGCTACACACTCCGAAGCCCAAAGTCAAGCTTCAAGCGCTTGGTGGCCTGCATTTCAGCCGCCGTGGCGGAAGGCGGGGGGGGGGGGGGGGCTTCGGGATTTCGGGTCTTCAGGGCTGATAGAGTTTAGGAGCTTCCCTGAGCCCCCCCCCCCCCCTCCGCGAACTACGTTTCTTGTCAGGGTGTAGGGTTTGAGTGTCACCTCTCCTGCATCGAACCACCCAGGCTGGGGCTTCAGAAAGCCCAAGTTCAAACAGGTTTAGGGTTTAGGGCAGAGAGCCCAAGCATGTTTAGGGTCTGGGTTTAGGGTTTAGGGCTCTAGGCTCTAGGGCTTAGGGCTTCGGCTTGGAGCCATTCCCTTTCTCGGCATTGATGGGGTCCTCATCGGAGGACTCGCTCATGCCGTAGCAAAAGCCGTCCCTGTAGACCTCACTCTCTTGGTATTAGGGTTTAGGGCTTCGAGCATGTTCTACGCCTACTAGCTTCTTCATAAGGGACCGACTGGGCTGCCAGGTTCTTGAAGTCAGACTCAAGCTTGGGCATTTGGGATTGCAAGTTTGCCCTTACCAGTCTCATAAGAGACTCCCCCTCAAACCCCACATCCGTACCCCAAACCCCTAAGCCCCATTGATACCCCTAAACCCTCAACCCTAAAACCTCAGACCCTAGAACCTAAACTCTTGTAGATTGGCATAACCGCCAACATGCTCTGAAGCTATACGGCCTACCCTTTTGGGCGGCTTGAGAGTTTTGTTCCCACCTCACCCCCGTGCATGCAACAGGATTGCGCTGCACACATCGGAGGGAACGCGCCGGTCTTAAGGGAAACCGGCACAGGACTTTTGCAGAAACGTGATTGAAGAAGCACATAACTTCTACAACTCTAAACCCTAAAACCCTCAAACTCCAAACCCCCAAACCCGAATCCCCAACTTCCTACGGCCACAGACTACTAAAAAGAAACAAACAAACAAAACATAACAGAATATAACTAACCTCTATATTGTTCCTAAGCAAAGTGCAGAAGGCCCCTAAACCCTAAACCCTAAACCCCAAACCCTAAACCCTAAACCCGAAACCCTAAACCCTAAGCCCTAAACCCTAAACTCTCTTCGTGCGCCAAGGGGCCACCTGTGCACAGCCCTCCGTCTCCTTTTTGGGGCTCTTCAAGGCTCTCAGAAGGGGAGTTTAGGGTTGAGCGTTTAGGGTTTAGAGTTTAGGGTTTAGGGTTTAGGGTTTGGGGTTTGGGGTTTGGGGTTTCGGGTTAGGGTTTTAGGGCCCTTAGGGTTCAGGGTTTCGGGTTTGGGGCCCTTCGGGTTCAGGGCTCTCGGGTTCACTGTCAGCGTTGCACCCTGGGGCTGTTTCCACTGGAGCTCAGGGGCTTCCGGCTGCAATAGCAGAGTCGGCTCGATGGAGGGAGCTCCGGGTCAGGGGCACGCGTTGCGCGCAGGGCGATTTCTATATTTAGGGGCCTTAACACTTGGAACAGGGTTTTTTTTTTTTTTTTGGGGGGGGGGGGGGGGGGGGGGGGGGGGGGGGGGGGGTTATCAGAGTATACTTCTAAGGGGACCAGAAGGGAAGACTGTTTGCAATTAATCCGACCCCTATATTACTCGTTAGGGCTTTCATGCTTTAAGGGTCGGCTTAGGGCTTAGAAGGACTTAATTAGGGTCTCAATTTAGGCGATAGGAATATGAAGATTCTCGCGAGCACAATGGAGTCTGCAGCGACTCGCTCGCGGACATTTCTGTTGTCTTTTCACACGGGCCAACCATAGTGGCCCGTGAACTCAAAATTTGTAAGGCCAAGGACGGCAAAAAGCGCGAACGAATATAGCGAGCCAACCAAAAGAACTGTATTGTATTGTGTGAAGAGAACACTATTAGTATTCTAACGGGTGCATGGAAGGAGCGAAGTAAGTGTGAAGGAAACGTGCGGGCTTTTGGAGGGCTTACAATATTGTTAGCATGAGTTCCTTGACGAGAAAAAAGGCATCTTTGCATTGCAATGTCCTGAAGGGAGGGCGGTCGAAAGGAAGTTTGGCAAAACCAAAAATTCCTAAACAGAAACGTTTAGGGTCAGGGTTTAGAGTTTAGGGTTTATGGTTTAGGGCTTAGGGCTTGGGGCTTAAGGTTTAGGGTTTAGGGTTTAGGGTTTGGGGTTTGGGGTTTAGGGTCTAGGGTTTCGGGGCCCCCTCTGCTGTAGGGTCTCCTTGCAGAGGTCCAGGCACGCCTGCCAGGTGCCCACGTCGGCGCCATAGGGCGTGGAGCCCAAAGGCATCTCCTTTAGGGTTAGGGTTTAGGGTTTAGGGCTTAGGGTTTAAGGTTAGGGTTTAGGGTTTAGGGTCTAATCCGAGGATTCGGGTTTAGGGTTTAGGGTACGTGCTGTTGGGAAGTCAGGACTGTTTTGGGGGGTGCTTCTTTTGCCGCGTTCCGCTTGTGCTTGTGTTTTGGAGACTCCGGAGGGTGCTGGGCTGTTGGGTTGCTCTGGAGATTGGCGAAGCTGGCCCTTAGAACCCTCTGAAAATTTTCAGAGTCAAATATGATCCTCTGAAACCCAAGAAGGGAAAATGTAAAAAGATCCTAACTGGGGTGTTTGAGGTTCTGCGTGGGTTTACCTTTTGCTGCCGGGATTGTTGGCATTTTGGGTGTCTCGGGGGACTTACTTGAGTTTTGGGCTTCTGACGGGAGTTGTTACAGTTAAATGTTGGTGTGCTTCTGTGTTTGCGGACTCTTGTTTGGCTTCGCGCGGCTAAGGTTTTCCGTTTAGGGTTTGGGGCATTGGGGTTAGGAATCCCCCCTCCCCCCCTCCGCCGCGCCACCCCCCCCCGCCCCCCCCCAAAAAAAAAAAAACGCCAGGTGTCCACATGGCTTCCGAGCCAGCGCATGCGCCACTGCTCCTGAGCTGGGGCACGGCTTCTGGCATGTGACCCGAAACGCCTGACCCCAAAACAGGCTTATGGGTACCTGCGAATAGGCCGACAAAGACAGCTGCAGCAAGCCCGATGCCAGCGTCTAGGGCTTAGATTGCCACCCCGCTCAGGGCTTGGGGCCCTAAGCACTAAACCCAAAACATTGAATAAAGCCGAAGCTCCAACAGCTAACATAGGGGCCTTTGTAATGAGAACAGGGTTTTGGGTATAGTATCGTTACAACGGGGACCATAAGGGAACAAAAGTAGTCATTCCTCCGACCCCTATATTATTAAAACACCAAGCTTCGTAGACTGTGCAGTGGCGGTGCGGGTTGGTGTGCGCCGGCTCGAGCATCTGCCGTGCAAAGTCGCGCTGGAGCCTCGGGAAGGGAGGGGTGGGTTGGGGTTTGGGGGATTACAGGGGATTTTAGGGTTTTAGGGGATTTTAGGCTTAGGATTTAGGGTTGAGGGTTTAGGGTTTTTAGGGGAGTTGGGGCTTTAGGGATTTTAGGGATTTTAGGGATTTTAGGGCGTTGGGTTTTTAGGGTTTTTAAACGTTTTTAGGGCTTAGAGTTCAGGGTTTCGGGCCTTAGGGCACTTAAACCCACCCCCTGAAGGCATCTTCTGAAAGGCAACTCCCCAAACCCGACGGAACCCCGGGCATCCTTACGAAACCTCCTACTGTAGGGCTCATAATTGGGGATCTTCCCCCTTATACTAGCAGTCCTTCATAGGGATTATAGTACCCCCCTACTACAATCCCTGTGAAGGACTGTTAGTAAAAGGGGGAACATCCCCGAGTCGAAATAACTACTGGTAGTACTCCCTTTGGTCCCTTTATCAGTCTACTACAACCCCCCGAACCCTCTTCCCATTACTAAGGCCCGAATATTGCACCGCAGACCCCGAAAGAAACATCTCCCCCAGGTCAAAGAAAAAAGCAACGTCAAAGCCCTTCTTAGACAAAGCCTTGTGACCCTAAACCCTAAACCCTGAACCCTAAACCCTACACCCTAAACCCTAAACCCTACCCCCTAAACCCGAACTTTAAGGAACTCAAAAACCCTCAAGAGCTCTCGGAAAGCCCTGCAGATGGGGCCGAGCCGCAGCGCGGTGCCCGAGAGGTCCACCGTGGCCTGGCCCCGGAGCTCGGCGTTCATCCTCGGGCTTGAGAAGGTTTTAGGGATGAGGGTTTAGGGTAAAGGGTTTAGGGTTTAGGGTTGAGGGTTGAGGGTTTAGGGTTGAGGGTTGAGGGTTGAGGGTTGAGGGTTGAGGGTTGAGGGTTGAGGGTTGCGGGTTGAGGGTTTACGGTTTAGGGTTCAGGGTCGAAAGCCAGTAGACAAAAATGATGGGCTACAGTTGCTCGTAGCTTCTTGTGTTGGGCAAGTAGGCGTTTACGGTAGGGTTTTGGGTTTCAGGTCTCGGGTTTCGGGTTTCGGGTCTCGGGTCTCGGGTTTCGGGTTTCGGGTTTAAGGGTTGAAGGGGGTTTTAAGGGGGTTTAGAGGCTTTTCGGGGTTAGGGTTTCGGGGTTAGGGCTTCACGGTTTTGAGGGTCTTAAGGGATTTAAGGGTTTCGTGGTGATTCAAGGAGTTTAGGGGTTTCGGGGTTTTAGTGGTTTAGGGGTTTTAGGGGTTTAGGGTTTCGGGGTTTTAAGGGTTGTCAGGGTTTTAAAAGGGTTTGCTCGGGGTTTAGGGCCTTGGATAAGGGTTAGGGGTTAATAAGGGTTTTAAGGGTTTAGGGGCCTTTGAGGGTTTAGACACTGTCGGGCTTCGGGACGAGTCCTGACATGTAAGGGCCCGAAGTCTCGCCGGCAAAGCCCGGCAGCCTCTAAACCCTAAACCCTAAACCCTAAACCCTAAACCCTAAACCCCAAACCCTAAACCCTAAACCCTAAACCCTGAAAGCCAAGCAGCATGGGGTTGGTTGTCACCGGCACGCCCGGCATAGGCCAAATGGTCAGGACTGGACCTTATAAGGGTTGGGATTTAGCGGGGGCGTTCTGGACTTTGCGGTTTCGAGTTTTACGGATTCTTTTGGGGCTTGTGTGGACAGTTGCTTAGATTCAGGGGGTTTGTGGGGCTGCTTTTGTTGGGCTTCTGGCAGTTGTTGGAATAGATTTGGGCGCTTAGGGGCATTTTTGGGAGGTTTGATCCGGGTTTTGAACTGCTTGGGTAGATCTTCAAGAAAGATCCCTGTTGCTAAGGGTGCCGTACAATATAGGGGGACCCAAAAAGGGACCGACCCTCAGTAGAGAACCACCTACGACCTTGCAAAAAGAAAAAGTCTTCGGGGCCCCGGGCCCATTCCCAGCCTCATCACCTCAGTGGAAGGCAGGACCCCACAAAACCCCAAAGGGTTTAGGGGGTTTAGGGTTTAGGGTTTAGGGTTTAGGGTTTAGGGTTTAGGGTTTAGGGTTTAGGGTTTAGGGTTTAGGGTTTAGGGTTTAGGGTTTAGGGTTTAGGGGGTTTAGGGTTTAGGGTTTAGGGTTTAGGGTTTAGGGTTTGGGGTTGAGGGTTTATAGGGTTTCAGGGTTTAGGACACACTAAACCCTGCCCTAAGGCCGAAACCCCCAAAACCCTCAAGCCTTAAAGAAGAATGTGGAGACGAATACTCACAGCTTTCAGTCACTGGCTCGTCACAATGAAGGAACCGAGGTCCCTGTAAGTAGTACCCACCCAGATTCCTCAAAGAGGGTTGGGGTCTACCTGAAGCAGTGTTGTTCCTTCTTGGGCCTGCTACAAGGGGGTTAGAGTATGCCAAGAAAGGTACTACTACATCGGGAGCTTTGAGGTGGGTCTAGGATTCGCAAATTTGCGGGGGGTTCGTGCCTCAGGCTCTTGCACAAATTTTGCAACCTGAAACCCGCAAGCCCATTTTCTCGTCTGAAGCCTTGCACTTTAATCTAGTTAATGTTTGGGATTTGTTCTTCCTTATTGGGTTTAAGTAGCCTTAAACATGTAAAATGCTACCCAACTATGGCAAAGTAAAGCCCTTCACCTATATAGACCCTTCCCTTTGAGCGAAGACCCGGATTCAACTCCACCTAAGCCAAAGCCATCAAAACAACTCTTGGAACCTCTCTAAAACTAAACCCAAGCACCCCTACAAACACCCTCCAAAAGACCTAGACCCTCAACCCCAAACCCCAAACCCTAAACCTTAAACCCTAAACCCTAAACCCAACCCTAAACCCTAAGCCCTAAACCCTTGAAACCCTCCCCTAAACCCTCCTTTTTTGCTTTTCACTGTACTTCTAACCATATTCGGGCACTTAAGGGGCTTATAAGTGGGTTATAAGCACAGTTATAATTGGTTAATTAATAAGTACCATGAACCTCCAAGTGGCCCTAAACCCTAAACACTAAACCTTAAACCCTAAACCCTAAACCCTAAACCCCCTAAACCCCCTAAACCCTAAATCCTAAACCCCAAAAAACTAGACCCAAATTGGTTGATAGGTACCATGAACCTCCCAGTGGTCCCTCCGAGGCACCGCCGACGCAGAGGCCGCCAGCCCAAACGCCGTGCGGTGCCGGATCTCAGGGCTCTGGACCTGAAGAGGGGTCAGGGTTGTAGGGCTTAGGGTTTTATAGGGTTTAGGGTTTAGGGTTTAGGGTTGAGGGTTGAGGGTTTAGGGTTTAGGGTTTAGGGTTTAGGTTTTAGGGTCTTGAGGACTTGAGGGAGCCCTAAGCCCGAAACCCTCCAACCCCCTCCAACCCCCCCCCCCCCCTAAATCTTCCGGCCCGGGCTCGTTCACGTCTGCGTTGCCCGAGACGTCCAGCTTGATCCTGCCGGGGTTTAGGGTTTGGAAGGTTTGGGGTTTAGGGTTTGGGGTTTGGGGTTCAGGGTTTAGGGTTCAGGGTTGAGGGTTTGGAGGGCTTGGAGGGCTTGGAGGGTTTGGAGGGTTTGGAGGGTTTGGAGGGTTTGGAGGGTTTGGAGGGTTTAGAGGGCTTTTAGGGTCTAGTGAACGCGAAACCCTGAGCTAAGCCCTTCAAGCCACCTCCCTAAACCCCTACCCCCTACACCCGAAACCTTATATCCTAAACCCTAAACCCTAAACCCTAGACCCTAAACCCTAGACCCCTAGACCCCTGAACCCAGGCTCGGGGAGGGTCATCCTTTGCCTGTCAATCCCGCAGAACCTTCTTTAAGTAGACAGGGCTCTTTGCATTCACCCTTTAGCCCCCGTTCTACCCTTTGCACCCTCTTCAACTCCTTCCCCTAAAAAAAACCCTGAACCCTAAACCCTCCAAACCCTAAACCCGAAACCCTAAACCCTAAACCCTATGTTGCCCCAGATTCCTGGAACCCCTTTCTACGACCCCTGCGCCGGAGCCCCCCGAACCCTCCAAGAACCCTGACAGAGAGCGCGCGGCCCGGGGCGTTTCACACCCGAGCGCGCGCCCTCCCCTGACACACCCTAAACCCTAAACCCTAAACCCTAAACCCTAAACCCTAAACCCTAAACCCTAAATCCTAAACCCTAAACCCTAAACCCTAAACCCTAAACCCACCCCCCCCCCCCACCCCCCCAAGAGTCCTGGCGCTCACCTCGAAGTCCGCACTGGCACTCAGCTCAGCGCTGCCCGTCAGAGTGCCGGCCACCTTTGGGGGGAAAGGGTTTAGGGTTTAGGGTTTAGGGTTCAGGGTTTAGGGTTTAGGGTTTAGGGTTTAGGGTTTAGGGTTTAGGGTTTAGGGCTTAGGGCTTAGGGCTTAGGGTTTAGGGTTTAGGGTTTAGGGTTTCGGGTTTGGGGTTTGGGGTTTGGGGTTTAGGGTTTAGGGTTTAGGGTTAGGGGTTTGGGGTTTGGGGTTTAGGGTTTAGGGTTTAGGGTTTGGGGTTTAGGGCCTAGGGTTTGGAATCTAGGGTTTAAGGTTGAGGGCTTAAGGGCTTAGGTGCAGGGATTCGAGTTCTTGCCCTGTGGCCCTTCTTTGCCCACTTTATGGCTGAGAGTTAGGAATCATAGGGTAAGCTTCATTCAATATTTGGCGTTGGGGGCTTTCGAGGGTTTTCGTGCCCGCGGGTTCAAGTGGTTCAGGCTTGGTTTGCCATGGGAAGTCCAGCGGATTGGCCCAAACCCCATGCTGGGCGTGAGACCTCCATCTCCGCGAGCATTTGCAGAATCAGCGCCACGCAGACGTAGCCGGCGCAGAAGACCTCGCAGAGTCACCAGGTTTGGGGTAACGCAACAAAAGGGCTTCGGGGCCTCCTGGTACCTCCGGAGAGCTGGGCAAGCTCGGGTTCAAGGGCCTCAAACCCCCACCCCACCGGGCCCCACCCTAAACCCTAAACCCTAAACCCTAAACCCTAAACCCTAAACCCTGAACCCTAAACCCCCCAATCGAGCCCGCGCGCCTTGGTCAGCGGCTTCTTGGGGAAGCGCCTCTCGGCCTCCAGGGCGCAGGAGCCCTCCGCCTCTGGCAGGAGGGCACTTGAGGGTATGCAGGGGAAGTGAGGGTAGATCTAGGGTAGCTCTAGGGCTCTAGGGTAGCTAGGGCAGTCAGGGAAGGGTAGGTAGGGCAGTTAGGCTAGTGAAGGTAGGGTAGTTAGGGGTTTCTCGGTTAGTGTAGATAGGGTAGTTGGGGTAGTACGGGGTAGTTGGGGTAGTTTGGGTAGTTAGGGTCTAAGGTGCAGGGCTTAGGGTAGTGAGGCAGGTGGGGCATTCGGGGGCAGGGCAGCTCTGAATTCTGGGCCCTTCTTGGTTCCCTTTGCTGCTGGGTGAATCTTGACATCAGGATACTTGTTGGGCAGGAAGAGAAACCATGACCAGATGTGCCACAAAGAGTCACGGCAACGGCAGCTTTGGAGGTTCCTGCTTCGTAAGCGTCCACCTGTAGCCGCTTTGGGGACAGTGGCCGCGCATCCTTCTGCCCGACTCCTCCACCACGAAAATGTGATCGTTCGCATCGGAGCAGGTCCGCTTGAGGTTGATCCTTCGCTCTGATGCGGAGAGCAGGCGCACCAGACCGTCCGTGAGCTCGCCATTCTTGCAGCTGAAGCTTCCATCCTCTGCAATCGTCATTCGCCGCATCCACGTTTGGTCATCCCCTGGCGCAGGCTCCCATCTGCCAGGTAGCTGCGTGCAGAAGGCGGCCACCACAACCTGGGGGCTGACGAGGTCAGAGGGGAGGTTTCTCAAATGCTTCGGAACGTAAATCTCTGCATCTGTCAGAGGACCCCCATGCCAGACGATTCTTTACAAAAAAAATTGGCTTCCAGCCACAAAACTGCCAGCATGAAGCTTCCCTGTGTTATCTATGTTGGCCCTGACACCTCCAGCCGAGCACCCTCACCGATGCCGAGGTCACCGATCGGTCGTTCCTCGTCCGTGCCGTCGAAGGCCCGGTCCAAGAAGAGCTGGGTGCTGAAGCTGCGCAGACCGAGGTCCCCGCAGATCACCTCAAGGGGACAAGGAGACGAGTTGTCTGAGCAGGCCTTGCTAAGCCCAAGAAATAGCCCCCTGCGTTTTTATGGACAAGCCCACCTCTTTGAGCTCCCGAAGCAGCATACTGGGCTGCAGACCTTCGAACGTCTTGCCTTCACCCGAAAGCTTCGAAGCAAAGACAGAGAAGGGGGGTTCCATTGCAGTCGGCCTTGTCGGCTCTTTCTGCGGCTCCTGCGAATCCTGCGACTCCTGCGACTCCTGCGGCCCCTGCGGCCCTTGCCCCATGCGGCAGATGCGTCAGTCGACTTCTGCGGCTTCTCGTGACAGTTTCCTAAAGCTCGAGCCAAGGCACGGAGCCTCCGGAGCGTGTGCACCGAACCGCCACATGTAAGCAACTAGGAACCGTTGAAATACCACACAAAGTTTTGCAAGATGCCGTTTACTTCGTGTACTCAGTTTACTTAGTGCGCTGCAACTGGCCTCAAGACTCTTCACATTGAGCCGGTTCTCAACGATTACCTGACCCTCACATTGCAACTCACCAGCCCAGGCTCTGCCGATGATGGTGCCGGCAAGAAGAGCCCAGTCGCCGAATCCCAAAGAGGTGCATGGGGCTGTTGGCCGAGCCCCCTCACCGAGGTCACCGAGCTTTCGATCCTCGTCCGCGCCCTCGAAGGCCCTATCCCAGAAGAGCTGCGTGCTGAAGCTGTGCAGACCCAGGTCACTGCAGATCACCTCCTTGAGCTCCCGAAGCCGCATGCTGGGCAGCAGGCCGTCGAAGGTTCTGCCTTCCCCCGAGAGCCTGGAAGCAAAGACCGAGAAAGGGGCATCGGCCCTGCCGGCTCCTTCTGCGACTGCATTTGCCCCATCTGCCTCTTGTGTCGAACTTGGCTTCGTCTGAGGCTCGAGCCAAGGCAGAACGCCGGGGGGCGGGGGGGCGCGTTTTTGTTGGCGCCGGCCACATGTCAGCAACTCGGAACCCTTGAAGCGCCATGTCAGGCAACAGGGAAAACCCTGGGCAGGAGACAAAACCCCCGCAGCCCGCAGAAGCACAAGGTGCGAAGCACAGCAGTGGGTCGACTGAGGCCGAAGCAAAAAACCGAAAGAGTCGACTGTAGGGGTAGGACAGGGTTAAGTTTTGGGGGCTATGATGGTATAGCTATAAAGGGACCATAAGGGAATATGATGAGAAACTATTCCGACCCTCCATATTACCCTAAACCCTAAACCCGAAACCTTAAACCCCAAAACCCAAAACCCCAAACCCTCAACCCCTAACCCTAGATTACCAAAGTGTCCGGATTACCTTGGGGGGTTTTGGGGGGAGACGCTGGATCGAGCCGGCCTCGACAAGCGCCTCTGCACTCACCCTCACCGTGCCGCCTTCAAGGCTCAGGATCTAGGGTTTTGGAGGGTTAAGGGTTTTTAGGGTTTAGGGTCGACGGTCTAGGGTTTAGGGTCTAGGGTCCAGGGTCTGGGGCTTAGACTTGGGTTTAAGAGGAGCTTGGGGGATACTATTCTTCTTGTTTTCAGCGAAAGGGGAATTTAGGAGATACCATTCTTCTTGTTATAGAACGCTATAGAAGTATAAGGAAAATAATAACAACACTTGTTACTACTATCACTATGTACATAGGCGTTGTAGTATAGTCATTATTGTAATAACTAACAGTAACAATACTGACAATAGCATTCTCATTCCACGAATAACAGGAGCCATCATGGTAACAATTACAGTAGAGTCCCACACTTCTGCACTTCAACCAAGCCGCTCACGACCACCTCGGTGGAACCCGAGGTGTCGACGCTCAGCTCCACCACGGGCTCAAACCTACAACAGACTCCCCCGCGTTTAGGGTGTAGAGTTTAGGGCTTAGGGTTTAGGGTTTCGGGCTTAGGGTTTAGGACTCCCCCGAAACCCAAACATTCTGCGCTGGGGTTAGGGTCCAGGCTTGAGGCTCTGGTGTTTCAGGGTTGAGGCTCTGGTGTTTTTGGGTTGAGGTTGCTAGGGCTCAGGCTTTGAATGTGTCTCGGGCCTAGGGTTCAAAACTTCCTCCCACCGTACCAAAAAAACCCGAAGCCCCCCCCTAAGCAGCCCAAGCTTCACCTTTTCCTTCACTCAATGCCCTCAACCATGCTTTTTGAGGAGGGACCGAAACCCTCAACCCTTTCCATGTCCTCAACAGCCGGGCGTCGAGCGCGTGCGATCCGAGCCCCTGTTTGCTCTAAACCCTAAGCCCTAAACCCTAAGCCCTTAACCATTAACCCCTAAGCCCCAAACCCTAAGCAATAAACCCTAAACCCTAGACCCTAGACCCTAAACCCTCAACCCCAGGGCTTTCGGGCTTCGGGCGCTGGGGGCGCTCCCAAGACTTTTGTGGGCTCTCGCCTTGTACACCAGGTCGTTGGACGGGTTTAGGGTTTAGGGTTTAGGGTTTAGGGTTCAGGGTTTGGGGTTTAGGGTTTAGGGTTTAGGGTTTAGGGTTTGGGCTTTAGGGGCCTTCTTCAGTATGGAAGCCACATCCTACTTCCGAGGTGGCAGCCCGGGCCCTACACACACACCCCCTAAACCCTAAACCCTAAACCCTAAACCCTAAACCCTAAACCCTAAACCCTAAACCCTAAACCCTAAACCCTAAACCCTAAACCCTAAACCCTAAACCCTAAACCCTAAACCCTAAACCCTAAACAAACCTTAAACCCCAAACCCTTAACCCTAAACCCTGAAAGCTCAAAGAAGCTTCGGACAGGGAGCTGCACCAGCCCGTCGATCGCGAGGTTCCTTTCTTGGGGGCAGCATAACTCGAATCCTCATCACAGTAGCCAATCTGGTCATAATGGCCTTAAACTGCATAAGCATCATAGGAACCATCCGAAAAGGGTCAGAGGTTGCCGCTGCCATGAACGTGCGATAACCCAGGTTAACCCCCTTAGCCGAAAACGGGTGCTCAGGTGCAGTGGGCTTGTATGAAAAGATCTGTGAAAGCGTGAGACTCCCCAGAACCGGAACCCCCCTGGCTCCGGAACCCATCATTCTGACTATTCCCGATTCGTAAGCTTACTGTGATGGTGCTAAGCTTCTAGCAGTATGGTTCATGCCATCATTCAAGCTACTAAGATTGTGGTCGGAGGGTCGTCCGGTCGAAGCCTCAGTTACTCCTCACGCCCCCCCCTAGTATATCATCCAAAACCCACGGAAACTGCAACACGCCCCCTACACTCTAAAACCCTACGCCAATAATTCCTAAAACATCTCTAAACCCCTCAAACCTCAACCAAAATCGCGGCGGAAGCGCATGTGGCCGCTGCAGCTGCCCTCGGGCGCCGGGGCTAGGCTCGACCTCCGAGTTTAGGGCTGCGGGTTTAGGGCTTCGGGCTTTTGGGTTTTCGGGTTGAGGGTTTAGGGATCAGGGTTGAGGGTCTGAATCAGGAGGGCACCGCGCGGTAGTTGGGTTGGGCGTAAGATGGGACACCGAATTCTAACCTCTAAGCCTCAATCCCTAAAACCCCCAGCCTCCGAACCGCCAAAAGCCTCCAAAGCATTCAAACCCCTAAAAACTTCTAGCATCCCCCCCTAAAACCCCCTAAGACTCTGAAGCCCTACTACCCCAACCCCAAACTTTCCAGACCCTAGACCCCCAACCTTAAGTCCGAACTAACACCCTTGAACCCCCCCAAACCCCCTGCACCCTAAACCCGAGACCCCAAAACCCTAAAACCCTAAACCCTAAACCCGAGACCCCTAAACCATAAACCCTCAACCCTAAACCCTAAACCCTAAACCCTCTCCTTCCCCCCCCTCACCCTTGCCTCAGCGCCTTCTTGTCCTTCAACTCCTCTTGGGCGCCTCGGCGAGGTTGGACCGAGGCACCTGGGCCAACTTCAGGGCACTTGAGGGGGTTTGGGGGTGTTTAGGGCTTGGGGTTTTAGGGTCTAGGGTTTAGGGTTTAGGGTTTAGGGTTTAGGGTTTAGGGTTTTTAGGGGGTTTAGGGGGTTTAGGGGGTTTAGGGGGCTTAGGGGGCTTAGGGGGCTCAGGGGGCTGAGGGGGTTTTAAGGGCTTTAAGGGTTTCAAGGGGTTTCAGGGGGTTTCTGGGGGTTTGGGGGCGTTCAGGGTTTTAAGGGTTTAGCGGCTTAGGGGTTTGGGGGTGAGTTTAGGGGTGAGTAGGGGTTCACGGGTTTCGGGTTTAAGGGTTCAGGGTTTCGGGGCATGCGAGAAGAACGCAAGAGATCCTTAGCGAAGAAGCGAATTATCAATTGACTGCAGAAAACTAAGAACTCACCGCCTGCGCTGCCTGTGGCTTTGGCAGTATAAATTCCACACAACTTGTGGATCCACAACCGGCCAAGGGCAACTTTGAAAAACATTAGCTGGAGGCGGGTACGGCCGTTTGACGACTACTAAGTCGTACTTGTCACTCCCGACAACATATGGTCATTGGACAGATGTAAAGAGCCGGCACTGGGGGGTTTTAAGGTTTCAGGGGTAGGGTTCGGGTGGTTTACAGAAGCTTCGCCCAAGCACCCTAGAAACCCTGCGCAGGGTAGTGCAATGACCCGAACCCCGAAACACCATCAATAGCCTCAAACACACTCATCTCACTTCTGCATTTGTCAAACACCTTCGGGCTTCAAGAAAAACTCTCCTGAAGAACCCCTTCTAACCAACGAAACAACTACTGGAAAACAAAACCTTCACACAGGCCCTAGCCCTTTAATCCCAATAACGCTCGGGACGGCGTTATTTTGACCCCTCAAACCTCTCACCCCTAACCCCCCTAAACCTCTCAACACCACTGACAACCCTCAAAACCCCAAGACACCTTGAACCCTAAACCCCCCCTAAAATCTCCAAACCCCCCCAAAAACCCCCCAGAAAAACTGCATCCATGCGGCTTCCAGGCAGTTGCGCCTTGCCACTGCTGCTTTCCTCCGCCTCGCCCAAAGCACGCCCACCCGAAGGCTTCAGGGTGTAAACCCTAAACCCTAAACCCTAAACCCTAGAACCCCTGAACCCCTCAGCCCTAGACCCTGTAAACCCCCTTAAAAAAAACCTTCAAACCCAAAAAGAGCCTTCAAACCCCGCAAGATCCCTCAACCCTCAAAAGCCTGGGGGCTTTGCGTGCTTTTGGGGGCGTGGGCCTCCCCGAATTGTCCACCGGCAGAGATGCCGAAGCCCTGGGTGAAGCCACCCGCTTTGAAGATGCCTGAGCTGCGTGCATTGGGGGAGAGGGGGTTTAAGGTTTAAGGTGTAGAGGGGTTAGGGCTTCTTGTGTTTTAGGGTTTAGGGTTTAGGGCTTTAGGGCTTCAGGGCTTCAGGGCTTAAGGGCTTCAGGGCTTCAGGGCTTTAGGTGATTTGGGGGATATAGGAGCTTTAGGGCTTTTTCGGGCTTCAGGGCCTCTTCAGGTCTTGAGGGCTTGAGGGCTTCGGGCAGTTCTCGACATGATGGTCCCCTTTGTTGAGAGTGGGCTCAAAAAGAGAGTCGCAGAATCAAATAGGTGCCCGCCCACGCATAAGGACCTAGGAGGTTGAGAAGGGCGGTAGCTCCGGAGCTCTTATGTCTGGTTTTTGGGGGTTTTGGGGTTCCTTAGGGTAGCGGTAGGGGGTTGCGAGGGTTACTTCAAGGAGTTGCGGGGGATGCTTCATGTAGGGTTCACGGGCATTGGCAGCTTCAGGGCTACCCCAAACGCCAAAAACAGGCTGCAGGGCTCTTTGGCGCAGGATCTGGGCTTCGGGGCTCGTGGTCCTGAACATGCCGTGGTTTGGGGGGTTTGGGGTCTGGGTTGTCGGGTTTGGGGTTGAGGTTGAGGCCTTGGGTAGTAACAAGAACAAACCCATAAAACCCCAATTACCTCCACCCCAAGAACCTCTGAACCCTAAACCCTAAGCCCTAAACCCTGAACCCCAAACCCTAAACCCTAAACCCCTCTGGCCCGGGGCGCACTTGGCACTGATCTGCGAGGTGGACAGGCTGAGGCTACTCCCAGCATTGCAATCGCACACGTCATCCAGGAACAGCGCGCCTTGGAAATGCGCCGGGGGGGGGGGGAGGGGGGGAGGGGGGGGAGGGGGGGGAGGGGGGGGAGGGGGGGGGGGGGGGGAGGGGGGGGAGGGGGGGAGAGGGGGGGGAGGGGGGGGAGGGGGGGAGGAGGGGGGGAGGGGGGGAGGGGGGGGAGGGGGGGGGAGGGGGGGGAGGGGGGGGAGGGGGGGGAGGGGGGGGGGAGAGGGGAGGGGGGGGGGGGGGGGAGGGGGGGAGGGGGGGGGAGGGGGGGGAGGGGGGGGGGGGGGGGGAGGGGGGGGAGGGGGGGGAGGGGGGGGAGGGGGGGCGGGGTGAGGGAGGGGGGGAGGGGGGGAGGGGGGGGGGGGAGGGGGGGAGGGGGGCAGGGGAGGGGGGAGGGGGGGAGGGGAGGGAGGGGGGGGAGGGGGGGGGAGGGGAGGGGGGGGGAGGGGGGGGGAGAGGGGGGAGGGGGGGGAGGGGGGGGAGGGGGAGGGGGGGGGGGAGGGAGGGGGGGGAGGGGGGGGGAGGGGGGGGAGGGAGGGGAGGGGGGGGAGGGGGGGGAGGGGGGGGGGAGGGGGGGGAGGGGGGGGAGGGGCGAGGGGGGGGGGGGGGAGGGGGAGGGGGGGGGGGAGGGGGGGAGGGGGAGGGGGGGAGGGGGGAGGGGGGGGAGGGGGGGGAAGGGGGGGAGGGGGGGGAGGGGGGGGGAGGGGGGGGAGGGGGGGGAGGGGGGGGAGGGGGGGGGAGGGGGGGGGAGGGGGGGGAGGGGGGGGGGGGGGGGGAGGGGGGGGGGGGGGAGGGGGGGGAGGGGGGGGAGGGGGGGGAGGGGGGGGAGGGGGGGGAGGGGGGGGGAGGGGGGGGAGGGGGGGGAGGGGGGGGAGGGGGGGGAGGGGGGGGGGGGGGGAGGGGGGGATGCAGAGTCTAGGGTTTGGGGTTTGGGGTTTAGGGTTTAGGGCTTCGGGTCTTTAGGGTTCAGGGTTTGGAGTTTGGGGTTTTCAGTTAGGGCTACTTAAAAGGTTTGAGGTTTGCGGTTTAGGGTTCCCAGGGTGGCGAGACGCACTCTCCATGATTGATAGGAGGAGGAGGAGGACGGAGTCGCAAACAAAAGCAGCTGAGGTGCACATGGAGGTCGCGAAGCTCAGGAAGCAGCCAATCATGTCCTGCCAACACAAAAAAGGCCTTAAACCCTATAAGCCCTAGAAAACCCTAGAAAACCCTCGAAAACCCTATAAACCCCGTCAACCCTGCCAACCCTATAAACCCTATCAACCCAAAAGAACCCGACAAACCCTGTAAACTGCAACCCTAAACCGAAACCCGCGGAAATGCCCGGAGCTAAGCCCAAGGAGATCCCAGGGCTTGAATAAGGGTTTAGGGTTTAGGGTTAGAGGGTTTAGGGTTTAGGGTTGTAGGCTATAGGGTTTAGGGTTTAGTGCTTGAGGTTTGGGTTTAGGGTTTTGGGGTTTGGGGTTTGGGGCTTGGGGTTGTAAACCCCCTAAGCCCTAAGCCCTAAGCCCTAAACCCTAAACCCTAAACCCTAAACCCCAAACCCTAAACCCTAAACCCTAAACCCTACCAGCCTCCCCCCCCCCCCAAAAAAAAAAAAAAACACAAGAGAATGGGCTCCGGGGCTCCTTGATTGCCTCCCAAGCATCGGCCGCGAAGCCCGCGGCCAGGACCCCAAGCTCCGCCACCTCGGCGCTTCGCAGGCTTTCGGGCCTAAAGGGTTTAGGGTTTAGGGTTTAGGGCTAGGGTTTAGGGCTTCGGGTTTAGGGTTTAGGGTGGAGGGCTTAGGGCTTCTTCTGTCGAATGGGTCTGAAACAGGGCCTCTCAACGCTACCTCAATCTCAAGGGCACAACTGGGCGCCCCAAATCTCTAGGAGCGTTTTTGCTCTCAAAATCTCCGTCGCGCTGGACCTCTGTCAACAATCACAATCATTCCCTCTTCTCCTAAACCCTAAACCCTAAACCCTAAACCCTAAACCCTAAACCCTAAACCCTAAACCCTAAACCCCACTTTGGGGCCTTCGCGACACATCGACCTTCAGCCGAGGCACCGCTTCTCCCAGCACGGCCGCCTTGTCGGCCACCTCCTCAAGCCAAGCTCGGGGCTTTCTACGGAAGCTTCGGTTTCGCATTCTGCTTTTCTGTCTTGTGGGTTTTAAGGGTTTTTAGGGGTTTTTAGGGGTTTTTAGGGGTGTTTAGGGGTGTTTAGGGGGTTAGGGGGTTTGGGGGGTTTAGGGGTTTAGGGGTTTGGGGGTTTAGGGGTTTAGGGGTTTAGGGGTTTAGGGGTTTAGGGGTTAGCATTTAAGGTTAGCAGGGCCAGGACATTACTAGTGTAGAAAAGGTTCGAGCAACCAACAAAACCCCACCCGCCCAGAGGGCCCCATAACATTTACGAAATATTCTAATCTTCATCCTGCACAATGTTCCTAAACCCTCGCACCGAACCCATTTGCTCTCAGAAGCTCCCCAACGCCCCCGAAAGAAATACAACAAGGAAAGGCCACGAAAAGGAAAGAAAACCAAAAAAAATGTGAGATCCCTGAACCCTTAACATTAGACCTTAGAAGAATTTGGGGAGCCCAGAAGCCCGAGAAGCATTTTGGAAGCCCGGGACTGCATAGGGTCCCCACCCCACCCTCGCACCAAACCCATTTGACCCATTTGCCTAAATCGCGAAGGACTTGCCTTTAAGTCGCGAAGGACTTGCCTAAATCGACGAATCCACAAAGGCTTATGTATGTATATACATATATATCTATCTATCTATCGATTTATCTATAGCTATGAGTAAGGGTTTAGGGTTTCGGGTTTAGGGTTTAGGGTTTAGGATTTCGGGGTGAGGGGAGGAAAAGGGTATGGTTTTTAGGGCTTCAGGGTTTTTGGGTTTTATGCTTCAGGGCAAGTAGCACAAGAAAGAGCGATGCCTCCAAGAACACCTGAGCCCTCTCTCACATGCAAATTCCTCGGAGGCAACCGCACACAGCTGGGCAAGCAACAGGACTCCTCGAACTCATCAGCCCCGAGCCCTAAACCCCAAACCCTAAACCCTAAACCCTAAACCCTAAACCCTAAACCCTAAACCCTAAACCCTAAAACCCTAAACCCTAAACTCTAAACCCCTAAACCCCCAAACCCCTAAACCCCTAAACCCCTAAACCCCTAAACCCCTAAACCCCTAAACCCCTAAACCCCTAAACCCCTAAACCCCTAAACCCCTAAACCCCTAAACCCCTAAACCCCTAAACCCCTAAACCAACCCCCGAAAACCCGTAAAAAGTCTTAGGCTCTCTGGCCCGCACTTTCAACACATTGGCCCTCGGAGCCTCCCAAACCCTCCAGGGTTTAGAGTTTGGGGTTCAGGGTTTAGGGTTTAGGGTTTAGGGTTTAGGGTTTAGGGTTCAGGGTTCAGAGTTTGGGGTTTAGGGCAAACGCAACCTCCCAAGCGCCTGAGCCATTCTGGCAGCGGCGCGGACGCCCTGCTCCAGGCTTCTTTGGGCCTTCTGCAGCCCTTCCTGCCATCCATGGGGGGCAAGTGTCGGAGATTCGAGTTCAGGGTCCGAAATGTATGGGGCATGTATGGTTTGCGGAAGAGGAAGAGGGCGGGGGGGGACAGGGCTTTGGAGGCTGTTACAGTCCATTTCTGAAGGGACGCTAAGGGAATACTATATCTATTTCTTCTGACCCCTGTATTACCAAACTTTCTGGCTGAGGTTGTCCAGGTCTCCCATCCATGCAGTCAAATCAGATCACCATCACTCCGTTGGATGTCAGAGGCCCATACACTCCAATCTTAGTATCCCCAAACCCTAAACCCTAAACCCGAAACCCACAACAGGAAGCACCCTGAGAAGATTCCGAGGCCGTCCTGGCTCAGGCGGCTCGCCGCCTTGGCGGCGGCCTCCCCGACGCCTCGCAGACGGCTCTGGGATTTTGGGATTTCGGGGTTTCGGGGTTTAGGGTTTAGGGTTTAGGGTTTAGGGTTTCGGGTTTGGGGTTTAGGGTTTGGGTTTAGGGTTTGGGGTTGAGGGTTTAGGGCCCTTGAGTGCTGGGTTTTGGGCGCCTTGGGCTGCAAAAAGGGTCCACCCCCAACGTTTGCCCACACAGAACTGCAGGTACCCTTTCCTGATCGAGCTCTTCCACTTGCATGTATATTCCTGCAAGTTCATGACAGCTTGTGTCTAAGATTGTCCTATCGAGCTCTTCCACTTGCAGACATATTCCTGAAAGTTCATGACAGCTTTTGTTTAAGATTGTCCTAGGGGGTTGATGAAACTGTCTCATGTGTTGGTAACTGTTGCAGCTTTCTTTCAGATTGGCTGCGGGTTACTGAGACTTTCAGAGGCGTTGGTAAGTCATGTTCAGGGTGCCTTCGTCTCAGGGTTTTGCTTCTGCTTTGGGCCATGGCTCGTGCTCGCTCTCCAGCAAGACAGCGATTGGTTCGTGGTGCCAGCTGGCATCAAGGACATTTTTTTGTCCCCGCTCACGACAGAAGAAATTCGTCCACGTGAACTTGGACGGCTTTAGCTTTAGGCAATATATCAGTGTAATCGGGTCCGTGACCAGAAAAATGACAGCAAATGCGCTCACCAATAGTGTCTGTCAAGAACTTCTGCAGCTCCGGCGGCAGAGAACGCCAGCCAATTGCACTCCATCTCGAGCTTCTTTTCTGATTGTTCGCCAAAAAAAGGCCTCAATACTTGCAGAAGCAACAACGACAGTTCCAAAGCACCTTCGCGATACTTAGGTTGAGGAGCGCCATTCCACAACAGATCTGTCGCAATGGCATAGCAGCTGAATCTTGAAGAGCAAAGGCCCAGTATCTGCTTCACATATTCTTTTTGACCCGGCTTGCCCACAACACTTCCAACTTCTCGGACCACAATGGAGCGGATCATATCGCGCAGGGCACTTTGGACTCTGCTCCACTCAATGGACGGGATGCGGAATGTCAGGCAAAGAATCTCCGCACCGACAATCTCCAATGCACTTGCGGCCGTAACGACTGCTCTCCCTGCGCCGATTCGGCGATTTTTACGGATTTCCTGGTCTGGTGGAATTCCAAGAGTTATAAAACAACCAGGAAATTTGTCCCAAGGCGTGACTCCCCACTCCAACGGATACTCAGCGGACTCGCACGTCCACGCGCCAATGACTCCGTGCGAGCACTGGCTAGACCTTAACCCGTCCCGAAGGATCAACAATGCCAAGTCTGGCCGGGTGCCGTGATACAAAATCTGTTTAAACGCTGACCATTCCATCTCTGCTTTCACTGGGACTGTAATGAGCTTCTTGTCTTCATCAATCTCCCACTTCTCCTGATCATGTTCCACACGCTTCCAAATTCCAGCTTGTAAAACTGCGGATCCTGACTGCTGGAAGAATTCCTGCACCAGCTGCCTCCCTCGGATGATCCAATTAAGGTCCTCCGCGTGCACAGCAGGCCACTGCAGGGGCAACTCACGGTCCGCATGGGCCCACTTGTGCTCCACGCCTTCCCGGTTCCAGGACACACGAATGGTGTCGCTCACTAAGGACCCCAGCCCTTGCATGTCCGACTCGACGTCTTCCATGTGAGTGTACCCCAGCATGCGCATGGCTAGCCCTCTCAGACGCTCCTCCTCTGACGTCACCATCGCACAGGCTACGCACACAGACGGAAATGGTTAGACAACACGACTATCCAAATCTTTCTGCACATGGCCTGCTCAATTGCCCTTACCTTGCCTGACCCAACTGTACAACTAGAGACTCAGCAGGTTCAAAACACAAGTTGAGACTCGTCACTTCTGATGCTCGCAGAATGTTCACGACGGTGTCGATGCCTGGAAGCGCAGGGGGAATGCTGCAGTGGAGATGGGGCCTTTGTAGAGGAGGCTTCCTCGCCTTCGTGTGTGGACGACATCGAGGAGTACAGCCCGTCCGTGCTCGATGTCGACACTTGTTGCTGCCATCCAGGGTTCTCAAGTCGATCAAGGCCTGTAAAAGGGCCAAGATCAGCAGACACAGCGTCACGATGGTAGGCGGCGACCAACGCTGAAGTAGCGGCTCTGAAGCACATGCTCCGGAGATGCAACATGTTGGGACGCAGCAGCTCGAAAAAGAGTCGCTGCCACATTGACGGGCTGAGCGCCCACTTTTTGCAACAGGAACCGGGGCTTGAACAGATAGCTGCCGCTGTGGTGGCGTATCAGAATTTCTACCGCGATACCGTGTCACCCAAGGATCTGTGGAATCAGGTTTCCTTCTTGGACGCAGACGCCTCCTGAAAGCAGAAAACAGGGTCCACCATGTTTGTCGCCCCTGCCAGCGTTATCAGCACTTCCGGAGACGGAACTTCTCCGTTGCGCGACGCCAATTCACTTGCAGCCCGAACCTGAAATTCATGCACCCCACAATGCTTTTCGGCATTGCGCCCCAGCTGTACGTTAGGGGTGCACCCAAAAAAAGGGGGTTGAGGGCTCAGTGGAGAAGCCCACCCCCCTTCAGGCTTTTCGGCCTAAACCCTACACCCGAAACCCTAAACGCTAAACCCTGGGTACAGGGTTCGAGCTGCAGTTGACCCAAGGTCCAAAGTCATCACGAATTTGGGTTGCACAGGGGGAACCTCTCGGTTTTTGTTTGTCTGTTGGGGCGGAGCAAAAAGGGGGTGCAAGTCTTTTGGGAATGTTTTACGGGAAATGCACATGTTGGGAGGTTGCGCAGCCGGACCCCAAAAGTTGCACCTCCCCCATATCGCTCTAGGGTTTAGGGTTTAGGGTTTGGGGTTAAATTTGTCGCCTGCACTTAGCGGACTAGGGCTAGGGTTTTGGTCCAAAACCGGGTGAGGGTTCAGGGCTTGAGGTAAAATCACGGAAGAGCCTCCAGCCAAAAACGGAAAACTCAACCCTCAACCCTAAACCTCAACTTGGGATCTTCCCCCTCGTACTAATGGTCCTTGATAGGCATTTTTGGTACCCCCCCCCCCGAATACAATCCGCAACTCAAGAGCTGTTTTAATATGAGAGGGGAGGCAACCCTCATCCCTCAACCCTCAACCCTCAACCCTACACCCTAAACCCTACACCCTCAACCCTCAACCCTAAACCCTGAACCCTAAACCCTAAACCCTCAATCGAACTGCAGCCCATGGCTCTGATGGCAAGTGCGCCGGCGCTCATCACCTGAGGTGCCGTGGGTTTAGGGTTTAGGGTTTAGGGTTTTAGGGTTTAGGGTTTAGTGTTTAGGGTTCAGGGTTCAGAGTTCGGGGTTCAGGGTTTAGGGTTTAGGGTTTTGGGTTTTGGGTTTAGGGTTTAGGGTTTAGGGTTTCGGGGGGCGCCTGGTTGCCCAATGTGCTGGCTGCATCCTTGATCTGCGCGGGCACGGCTTTGTAGGTCTGCTCGGCGACCTTGACCACCTCCAGCGCTCACAAAGTTTTAGAGTTTCGGTCTATGGTTTAGGGGGTTCTTGTGAAGGTTTAGGGTTTAGGGTTTAGGGTTTAGGGTTCAGCGTTCAGGGTTTAGGGTGTAAGGTTTAAGGTTTGGGTTTAGGGTTTAGGGTTTAGCGTTTAGGGTTTAGGGTTCAGGGTTCAGGGTTTAGGGTTTAGGGTTTAGGGTTTAGGGTTTAAGGTTTAGGGTTTAGGGTTTAGGGTTTAGGGTTTAGGGTTTAGGGTTTAGGGTTTAGGGTTTAGGGTTTAGGGTTTAGGCTGGAAAGATGGAAGGCTGAGGATAGGGGGGGCAGAGGTTTAGGGGTTTAGGGATGAGCCATAAACACTACTTGAGTCCTCTGAACCGCATAAGACCCTAAACCCTTAACCCTAACCCCTAAACCCTAAACCCTTCTAAGCCTGTAGGTTTAGGGATACACCTCAGCCCCACCAACTCCCCCGGCACTTCTCTCACGGGCCACAGACTTCCCGATGACCAGCGCCGAATTGCCCGCGAAGCTGCCCGCCTTCAGCGCTTAGGGGGCTTTCGAGGGGTTTGGGGGGTTTGAGGGCTTTGAGGGGTTTGAGGGGCTTGAGGGCTTTGAGGGGTTTGAGGGGTTTGAGGAGTTTGAGGGGTTTGAGGGGTTCAGGGGGTTCAGGGTTTTAGGGGTTCAGGGGTGTACGGCTTCGCGTCATGCATTTTGGCGGCTTCGGGATGTTCTGTTTCTGCTTCTTTTTTTTTTGGGGGGGGGGGGGGGGGCGGAGAGTCTGAACTCTCCTGGAGCGTGCGGCAGAGTGCCAGCGAGTTCTGCTCCGGTACCTCCTACTCGCTCGTGAGCATTCGTGCTGCATGTCCTCGGCATTTTCGTTACCCTATACAGTTACCCTATACAAACTAAGGCACTTAAGGCCCATCCTTGAGAAACCTTTAAAGGAGGTTCGGGACCACATAAAGGGCAAATGAAGCTACCGTCAGACTTGTGCGGGGGAGGGAGGGGGGAGTGGTCCGAAGTTGCATGGGTCTTTGATGGGGTCAAGGGGCCCAGACGGATCAGGGCCCCACCCTGAGCCCCAAACGCTCAAACCGCTAGGTTTAGGGGCCCTAAACCCCAAAACCCTAAACCCCTAAACCCCTAAACCCCTAACCCTGAACCCCTAAACCCCCTAAACCCCCTAAACCCTAAACCCCTAAACCCCTAAACCCCTAAACCCCTAAACCCCTAAACCCCTAAACCCCTAAACCCCTAAACCCCTAAACCTTACAGTCTGGCTTTGAGGGTCCCTACCTCGAGACCGACGTCCGCCAGCTCGCTGCCGATCTGGACGCCATAGTCGGCCACAGCAGTTGCGGCATCCACCATCACCTGAAGATCGTTCTAGGGTTTAGGGTTTAGGGTTTGGGGTTTAGGGTTTGGGGTTTAGGGTCTAGGGTTTAGGGTTTGGGGTTTGGGGCTTGGGGCTTGGGGTTTGGCATGTTCCCCCTTATACTAACAGCTCCTTCAATCTAAGAACTGCTAGTAAAGAGGAAACATCCCAAGGTTTCGGGCGTGCCGTGAACGCTTCTGCAGAACCCCGTTAAGGCAAACCCCTAAAACCCTAAACCCTAAACCCTAAACCCTAAACCCTACACCCTAAACCCTAAACCCTAAACCCTAAACCCTAAAAACCTAAACCGCTGAACCCAGAAGCCCGGACTTCAGCCAGCCACGTCCACGACGTCGTCCACCCAATCGAAGGCCTTGGCGGCCACCACGGCATCCAGGTTCTGGGCTCCAGCTCTGCCCTTGCCTTGGAGTTTAGGGTTTTAAGGCCGGGTGGGAATTTAGGGTTTAGGGTTTAGGGTTTGGGGTTTGGGGTTTGGGGTTTAGGGTTTAGGGTTTAAGGGACCTGCTGGAAAGACTAGGGGAAGGGGTTTAGGGGTTTAGGGGTTTAGGGGTTTAGGCGTTTAGGGGTTTAGGGGTTTAAGGGTTTAGGGGTTTAGGGGTTTAGGGGTTTAGGGGGTTTAGGGGGTTTAGGGGTTTAGGGGTTTAGGGGTTTAGGGGTTTAGGGGTTTCGGGGTTTCGGGGTTTAGGGGTTTAGGGGTTTAGGGGTTTAGGGGTTTAGGGGTTTAGGGGTTTAGGGGTTTAGGGCTTAGGCTGTTGTTTAGGGCTTCGGGTTACTTCCCTTAAGCCCTAAAGAATTGCTCTACACGCGTACTTTGCTTCGCTGCGGAAGCTACTGTTTCCTGACGCTTCTCAACTAGGACTTTTTCCAGAACAGGCAGCACTTCACCACGGACCATACCGCCCCTGACCTTCCCAACCCCCTTTAAGCCTGGCTCGCGTTTTTATTATTTAGGTAGTCTACTTGGGGCCCAAGCTTGGTTTGGACTTACGGACGAGAGGCTGGGAAGGCTTGAAAGGTTTGAGGCTTAGGGGTTTGGTTCGGGGGGGCTTAGTGTTTGTTCCGCTTAAGTTAGTTCGGCGTTCGAGAAGGGGTAATAGGGACTTAGGGCATGCGAGAAAAAGGGAGGACCCAGAGGGGGAGTTCTTAACCCCCCGAACCCTACTGCATCTAAATCCAAGTTATCTAAAGCATACCATATCAATATACCGCAAGACAGAATAATGACAGTCAGAAGCAATACTCACTGATAATACACTACTAGCAGCAATGACAACAAGAATATTGTTAGCAGGACGAATAACAATTAAATAACAACAAGAATACCAATAAGAACAAGAACAAAAACAAGAACAGTAACAATAACAAAAATAGCTGCAACCCCCCCCCCCCCCCCCAAGCCCCTAAACCCCTAAACCCCTAAACCCCTAAACCCTAAACCCTCAACCCTAAACCACAGGGTAGTTTCAGGCCTCGAGAGGCACGGCGTTGAAGCGCCGCGGTCCGATGGTCTTCCTCGAAGCGAGCGGCTTGCGAGTTCCAGGGTGTAGGGCTTAGGGTTTAAGGCTTATGATTCAGAGGGTTTAGGGTTCGGGGTTCAGGGTTTGGGGTTTAGGGTTTAGGGTTTAGGGTTTAGGGTTTAGGGTTTAGGCTTCGGGGAATTCGGGCTTAGGGCCTAGGGCTTAGGGTTTGCGGCTTGGGGGTGAGGATTTAGGGCGTTGAGGGCCTGCTAGGGCTTCAGCCAAAGGACCGCCCCGAGGACGGCACGGGATCGAGAAAGGGTTTAGGGCTGCTCTTGGGGTCTAGGGTTTAGGTTTAGGGTTCAGGGTTCAGGGTTTAGGGTTTAGGCTTTAGGGTTTAGGGTTTAGGGACTGTTCGGGTTGAGGGCTTAGGGACTGTTGGGGTTGTTTAGTGCTGCGGGTTCAAGGGTTCCGGGTTTATCAAGAGTCCGGAACCTGCTTTCATGGAGCCGTAAAGGAGGTACATAGCCCACCCGAGGCCGTGACTCCCTGAATCGCACACCCGAAACCCATCACGCATCATAGAACCCCAAAAACCCTAAGACTCCCCTCCCATGTAAGAACCAGATCACCGAAACACCTAAACCCTAAGCCCTAAGTTAGCCCTAAGCCCTAAGCCCTAAGCCCAAAGCCCCAAACCCTGCACCCCCCAAACCCTAAACCCCGAAACCCTAAACCTGAACCACCCAAACCCTAAACCCCCCCCTCCTGCCTGCGAGGCATTTACGCCTTGGCGGCCTCGCGAGGCACTGGCCTGCAAAAGCCCTGGCCCCTTTGCCTCACAGGCCTGGCTGGAAGAAGGGTTTAGGGTTTAGGGTGTACAGGGTTTAGGGTTTACGGTTTAGGTTTTCTCTCTATCTCTCTCTCTTTCTTTCTCTCTCTCTCTCTCTCTCTCTCTCTCTCTCTCTCTCTCTCTCTCTCTCTCTCTTTCTCTCCCACACGCATAACCCCCCCGAAGGGAGGGTCTGTCAGTCTCTCTCTCTGTCTCTCTCTCTCGCTCTAAGGCCGGAGGAGATTCAGGATCTTGGATGATGTCAACGCCTACAGCCCGACGCGGGAACCCCATGATGCGACGCCACGCCCCCCCCCCCCCCAAGCCGAAAGCCTCTTCCCCAGCTGTGGCGGCCAACCAGGCCAATGAGATCCAGATGAAACATATCGAAAGGGCGGCCATAGAGCGGTAACTAGGAAGGGAAAGTGTGAGCGCTTTGCTCTTGGAGCCTAAGAGGCTCGACGTGGCAGTTCTTAGGATTTTCAAGTTTTTTTTTTTTGGGGGGGGGGAGATTTCTGTGAAGGGCAGGAAGGGTGCCGGCGTGGGTGTAGTTTGAGTTAACATCAGAACCTTGAACCCTAAACCCACAAGCCCCCCAAAAAAGCAGAATCTCCAGAACCCTAAACCCTAAACCCTAAACCCTAAACCCCTAAACCCTAAACCCTAAACCCTAAACCCAGGCCAACCTAGGCAAGCAGCATGCCGTGGTTTTGGGGTCTTCGTCGTGTCCCCAAGAAGGCTCTAGGGCTTAGGCTCAAGACTTCCAAAAGATTGTCCTCAACAAGAACCCCCATCTAAACCCTAAACCCTAAACCCCAAACCCTAAACCCTAAACCCCCCCCCCAAACCCTAAACCCCCCCTAAACCCTCAACCCTAAACATCCCTAGACCACAAATACACCCATGAGATTCCCATGTCGAAATCTCGGTGCGCGGATTGCTTTTTGTGCCCAGAGCATTGGACTCCGGCTCTCCTGACTGCGGGAGTGAACACTCCCAGAGCCTCCCCATGAGTTTAGGGCTTAGGGTTTAGGGTTTAGGGTTTAGGGTTTAGGGTTTAGGGTTTAGGGTTTAGGGTTTAGGGTTTAGGGTTTAGGGTTTAGGGTCTAGGGTTTAGGTAGCTCATAGCACCCCCTTTCCATTCGACGGTGTCCTTGGGGTTTCCCCTGAAAAAACCGGCACAACTGAATGTCTCCGAATCTCAGTCCCCAAAATTTGGCCTCCAATTCCCCCAAACTCTAAACCTTAAGCCCTTAATCTTTGTTCTCCGAGTCTTGGGCTTGTTTGGGGATGCTTTGCGACAGCCGCTGTGGGCTCTCGCATCGAGAGCAGCCGCGCGAGTGTGTCTCAGTTGCGACTTCTGCAAGTCACCAGCCGGCATCCTTTCATTCCTACGCAGGCCGCCCCATCAAGCTGGATTCGAAGAGGAAGCGCCTCTGGGGTCATTGCCAACCTAATGGCTCAGGACTGCCACACAGACTTGCGCACACATGTGCGCTCGCATGTGTGCTCCTCAAGATGCACACAGGGCACAAGGCCCATCCCATTTTTACGTCGGCGCCGTGCCAGGTTGAGGGAGTCTATGAACCCAGTTTCGCGCCGCACGAAACTCCACTTCTGCGCTGATCTTCCAGAGGCCTATGCCCTAAACATCCCTGAGGCATCCTAAGCCCGTTGCCATTCTGCGTTGTGAGACGTTCGTCGCTGGGGATCGCTGGGGACTGTCGTCAATCTGAAAACACTGGAAGAGGCCTGCAAAGCCTGCATTATCTGTAAATTTTGTGTTTAGGGTTTAGGGCTTAAGGTTTAGGGTTTTTGTATGCCCTGCAAACACGTGAAAACCCGCTGAAGCGTTTTGGGTGGGGTTCAGGGTTCAGGGTTCAGGGTTCAGGGTTCAGGGTTCAGGGTTCAGGGTTCAGGGTTCAGGGTTCAGGGTTCAGGGTTCAGGGTTTAGGGTTGGTAATATAGTCCTCAATCTCATTCACCAGGATTCATTATGGGAAAGGTACTCTTTGGGTCTTTCATGGGGTTGCAGAACACTGCTTTGCTCATACGGATGCAGCGACTCGCCGGCTGCTTCCTGAAGCTCTTTGCACACTGTATGCCGCCGAGCCTTACCAGGCTCCACGAAGACGTGTCGCATGTTTGGCTTCATGAGGACCCAGACGCTGTGAGGCCTCAGTGGCCTCAGAAGATGCCCGAACAGCGTAGCATGTGCAACAATTCTGTCACACCAGGATTGCCACACGGACTTTCCTACAAGGTTTGCACACCGGGGCAGCCTACATTTCGCGGTTTCGCCCGTGCAACAGCAGTCATCGAGACGCCGCAGGGCCACAGATGGCTGGCAGCTGGGAGACAGACGGAGACAGACACTGAGAACTAATGGCAAGAAGGACGAAAACGAGTTGATGCTGCGCTGCTCCTCCGCCGACATGCAAGCGGGCGCTGCGCTCTGAAGTCTCGAGTGCAGACATCTCTGCCCTAGAAGAAACGGGGGGTGCTTCGGCAGGTGCTTGGGTGCTGTGGAAGGATGTTTGAGTGCTTTGGCGGATGCTGTTTGGGTGCCGGCTCATCTGCCTCTGCAAAGGTGGCCGTATTCCTACACAAGGAGTTCTCCTGGTCACGTGGGGAAATGTGAATACATGCAGGGGCGGGACGCTGCAGGCACCTGAGCGCCAACCAGCATCTCAATGAGTGCGGCACTTACGCAAAGCTCCGACAGACACCTCCGGCAAGAAAGGCGCGCTAGTGGCTCTTGCGATGATGCCCATGGTAAGGCACTGCAACGGGGCAAGGAAGCTGTCCTCAGGCCCACCGCATCGGACGCCCAGGCCGCCTTCGGCCCGGGAAGGAAGCGATAAAACGCTGGCTGCAAGTTGCAAGCATTACACAGCCCAGCGATCTTGCTCCTGGCATGGAGTGGCTCGGTCTGCATGGCGGACGCCCAGCATGGCTCTCAGCAAGGAAGCAGCAGGGTGATGGCACGGGGCCAAAATCCAGTATCAGTGGCACTCTGTCAGCAACTCTTGCGCGGCTGAACTTTTAACAGCAACAGAGCGCACAGGCACAAGGGCCTAATTGGACTCGGTTCACACAAGAAGAAGACGCGTCGCTTTAGATTGGGTTGAACCGTGGCAGAACACTGCTTTGCTCATACGGATGCAGCGACTCGCCGGCTGCTTCCTGAAGCTCTTTGCACACTGTGTGCCGCCGAGCCTTACCAGGCTCCACGAAGACGTGTCGCATGTTTGGCTTCATGAGGACCCAGACGCTGTGAGGCCTCAGTGGCCTCAGAAGATGCCCGAACAGCGTAGCATGTGCAACAATTCTGTCACACCAGGATTGCCACACGGACTTTCCTACAAGGTTTGCACACCGGGGCAGCCTACATTTCGCGGTTTCGCCCGTGCAACAGCAGTCATCGAGACGCCGCAGGGCCACAGATGGCTGGCAGCTGGGAGACAGACGGAGACAGACACTGAGAACTAATGGCAAGAAGGACGAAAACGAGTTGATGCTGCGCTGCTCCTCCGCCGACATGCAAGCGGGCGCTGCGCTCTGAAGTCTCGAGCGCAGACATCTCTGCCCTAAAAGAAACGGGGGGTGCTTCGGCAGGTGCTTGGGTGCTGTGCAAGGATGTTTGAGTGCTTTGGCGGATGCTTTTTGGGCGCCGGCTCATCTGTCTCTGCAAAGGTCCCCGTATTCCTATACAAGGAGTTCTCCTGGTCACGTGGGGAAATGTGAATACATGCAGGGGCGGGACGCTGCAGGCTGTTTGAGTGCTTTGGCGGATGCTTTTTGGGTGCCGGCTCATCTGTCTCTGCAAAGGTCCCCGTATTCCTATACAAGGAGTTCTCCTGGTCACGTGGGGAAATGTGAATACATGCAGGGACGGGGCGCTGCAGGCACCTGAACGGCAACCAACATCTCAATGAGATGGAACACCTTGGAATCATGGGCCCGGAAACTAGAACTGGCGCTTCGGGTTCCCAGCATGGGTTCTTAGCGGCTTCGAAACAGGAGCTAGAACCCGATGGAACCAGTAGGAAGTTCATGAGTCTTCTGGCGGGCACTCCCTCTATCAGCTTGGAAACTCAAGGGAAAGCCCGTGCGTGAGAGCGAACAAAAGCCGCCAGTAAAAGACTTCCATTAATGGGGGCTTTTAGTTCACTTACCCACAGATCACTCATTCATGACCTCTGTCTCTAGGAGTTAATCTGTTCAGTCGTGAAGGAAACAACCAGGATGGGAGAATGAGGGCGTGACGGGTGTTTCCTTGGTCTACGGCCCTTATGCAAAGCTCGGACGGGCACCTCCGGCAAGAAGCGCGCGCCAGTGGCTCTTGCGATGCCCGTGGCAAGTCTCTGCGATGGGGCAGGGAAGCTGTCCACATGCTGACACAGGCCGTCTTCGGCCAAGGCAGGAAGCCTGCGAGCCCGGGCTGCCCGCAAGGTGCAAGCATCACACAGCCCTCCGATCTTGCTCCTAACGCGGAGAGCATGTTCGGTGATTGCCTTCTGGGACGCGAGTCTGTCTGCAATCTTGGACGCTTACTGCCAACAGTAACAGCGGGAGGGTTTTGGGTTTAGGGTTTCGGGTTTAGGGCTGTCTGTTCTTGGAAGAAGGCCAGCAAACTCCACATCCCCAGCGTGGTAGGACTGGGGGGGGATGGAAGATGGGGCTGCCAATCCCTGACGTGCCTGGGAGCTGTCAGGCTAGGAGACTCCGCAACTCCGGCGTCTACAGGCGAGCAAGAAAAATAGGGTCCTGCCAGCCATTGCACCTGAACCTCAAAGCCAGGCCGGACGACCCAAAAATGGAGACGGAAACTGGAGTATCAGGAACCGAGACCCTGCCTCCCTCCGTTAAAAGAAGTGGAGGATGGCTCCAATACGTTGCAGGACGAAGTATCGTTACGTGGCTTCTGCGAATTGACGAGGACTGTGGGAGCAGGGGGATCATTGCCAACCCTATGGTTCAGGAAGACTTGGTTGCAAGGTTCAGAACTGAAACACCTGCGCACACAAATATCCCACACGCATACGCACACGAGCCGTGGTCAGTTTGGGGAGGGGGGGTGGCTCAGGACTGCCACACAGACTTGTGCAAGCATGCGTGCATGCATGTGTGCCCGCGTGCACACGAGGCGCGGTCGGTTTGGTGGGGCTTTGGCCACAAGTCAAGCCTTGACAGCTTTAGGACTTTAAGGTTTAAATTTTTGGAGTCGGGGAGGGAGGATTCTCAAAGCAAAGGTGCTAAGAGACGGCACTGTCACATGATGAGCTCCTCGATTCCTTGTCTTGCCATGCTTCGGACCATCACTTGGGAACCGAATGTGTTTCTGTGGCAGGTTTGTTCAAGCGTCTGCTGCCTGCGGCCAGGACTTGAGAAAAGGTTGGGTTTTGAAAGCCTGGAGCACCAGCAAAACGTCGTAAGTAGCCGCCTCTCTTTTGCCAGGACGCTCCCAGATGCACACGAGGCGCGGTCGGTTTGGGGGGGGTTTGGCCACACGTCTAGCCCTAGCCTTGACAGCTCTAGGACTTCAAGGTTTAAATTTTTGGAGTCGGGAAGGGGGGGATTCTCAAAAGCAAAGGTGCTAAGAGACGGCACTGTCACATGATGATCTCCTCGATTGCTTGTCTGGCCATGTTTCGGACCATCACTTGGGAACCGAATGTGTTGCTGGAGAAGTCAGCTGGACCATAACGTTGGAGCCGGAGCCTTTGCGACGCGATGCTGCCTACCAGATTTGACAATTTTAATTTCCGACGTGCAACACCTTCACTGAGGACTCCATGGCGACGCACAGAAGCGGACCACATGCTGTGATCTGTGAAGCTCCACTTCTTGCAAGCAGTGAGGATAACGGGTAAGCATGGCTTCCTGGAAAGTCACAAAAACATAAACCCTGAACCTGTGTGTGTGTGTGTATGTGTCTACTTCAGCTTGGAACTGCTGCGGCACGCACTCTCTGACGTGCTTGCAGTGCTTAGGCCAATTGCAACCGTACAAAAGATTATTCAAAGTACACAAACAGCATCTACCCTAAACCCTAAGGGGATAGCATGGGTGCTTTGTTTAAGTCAAAGGCTCTTGCATTACGGGCCCTTTAAAGGTCCCCACCACGCATTCGCCAGGTTCAGCAAACCAGTCGCTGTACCTGAATAGGGTTTATGGTTCATGACGATTTGGGAGGTTTAGGGCTTGCTTAAGACCTCAAGGTACCCCACACCATCCATGCTTGCACTCTCATACAGCTGCTACTACCATGTTTCTGACTTGCGGAGGCCATGACAGGGGGCCCCCCTACCCTTAGCCGTCAGGTTTAGGGTTTAGGGTTTAGGGTTTAGGGTTTAGGGTTTAGGGTTTAGGGTTCAGGGTTCAGGGTTCAGGGTTTAGGGTTTAGGGTTTAGGGTTTAGGGTTTAGGGTTTAGGGTTTAGGGTTTAGGGTTTAGGGGTTTAGGGGTTTAGGGGTTTAGGGGTTTAGGGTTTAGGGTTTAGGGTTTGAGGTTTGGGGTTTAGGGTCATCATGCCTCATCATGGCTGGGGAAACAAAAAAACAACAACGCGTTCCCAAGCCCAAAACCGCGTCTCGGACCGTCAGCAACCTCTTTCTCGCGACACAACATGACTGCGTAACGGTGAAGTACAGAATTGTGGTAGAAGTGTAGAACCAGAAAGTACGAGCCGAACTCATCTTCACCATTCTCAACTTCAAGTCCTCAAGATGTACACACTCATCCGATTTTACGCCGGCGCTGCGCCAGGTCAAGGGAGACGATCTTCCAGGAGCCTAAGCCCTTAGCAGTTTCAAGGGCGGCCCCAGCTGAGTCCTCGGCCGAGGCGAATCCTGCGCTGTCCGCCTCTGAGCTTGCTCTTCGGGGCGGACTCCTCTCGTCTCTGGTACTCAAACTTCATCAAAGTTCGGAACGCCTGGGTTACGCGGAGCCTCTCTCGACCACGGCACCACGGATCCGCGCACGCCGCAGGCTGCGGTTCTTGGCTGCACTGCACAGGGCAGCAGACTGCTGGAGACCAGAGAGCCACAGAGGGAGGCAACTGAGGCATTGCAAACACCTGTGCTGCGGACGGTGAACTCTGCAGAGTCGGGCACCGCAGTTCATCTCTCCGAACCTGCGGAAGGTTCTGGCATTGAAGCATCGAAAAGCGGCATGTCTCCTGAGACTCTTGGTTGGAGGCAGCGCTGCCTCCCAGGGAGGCGGGCTGGGGGGGGTGTTTTGGTGAAGTGTCCACAGGAAAGGTCTTCTAGCAGTTATTTTCAGACGAACCGCGTCGAAAAACTCTGAACAGTTTCAGTTCTCGTGAAGGGAGAATGAGAAAAAGCCTACGCTTGCACGGCACGCCTTCGACAAACAAGACTTGTGCAAACCTGTGCGAACCGTGCTGACGCCACGTAACCTTCAAGCATAGCTAGCGGATGTGGTTCAACCCGCGTGCGCAGCACTGTGCAACGCAAACATAACAACATTCACAACTACCCGGATACCTTTTCTACTTCAATTTGCCAGCCTACACCAGAATCCTAGACCCTCAACCCCCAAGACCCGAAGCCCTCGGTCAACGACGCCTTGCGTCGGCCATGAAGCTCTGCAGATCCATCACGTCGGACTGGGACCGTCCTGCAAACCAACCAGAAACAGCATCCCACTGGTTCTTTGTAGGGAATCTTCCCCAGTCTCCATATGAAGCAGGGCTTTGTTCGGGGCATTATCCTCAAAAAGGAACACCCATCATGAACACTCACCAAGATGCATAAGGAACCCTCTACACAATCTCACCAATAACCGTAATCTAAGACCCTAAACCCTAAACCCTAAACCCTAAACGTTTCATGCACTTGGGGATCGGTCGCCAAGTACTACATCTACTACAGCTCGAAATCCCACCCTAAAAACCCCAAAACTCTGAAGGGATCCCGTGGAAGATCGGGGCATTTGGGCGTGCACAAGGTGGCTTGGGATTGCGGCACTTGAACCCTCAATCCATAAACCCCTGGACCCCCTACTAAACCCCTACCTAAACCCCGAAACTTCCTGAACCTTCCTGAACCCCCCTAAGCTTTAAGGTGAGAACCCGCATACCGCCCACCCTCCTCTTCGCCATCGCTCATGTCCTCAGAGTCCCCATACCTGTCGATTTGTTTCCTCAGCCTCTTTCAGGGCTCTTGCGAAGAAATTTATAATCCCCCCCCCTTGTAGTAGAACCTTCCCGAACCTACCTGGAACCCCCCCAACCGGGCCGAGGTCGGCGCGATTAAGTTGTCATAATGAGGCTGCTGGTAATATGTAGCATAGCCACCTAGTGTAGGTTCCGAACCCAGAAATGCCTTCAACGTCCCTGAAAAGTTCTTTTGGGGATCCTGTGAGTGAACCCTCATGAACCCTGAATGCCCTCAGGATCATATCAAGCAAGCAGGCGGGCGCTTGAGGGTGACCAAAACGCCCAGAAACCCCCACAGCGCCCCTCATCCTACACCCTGATGACACTAAACCCTCAACCCTAAACCCTCAACCCTAAACCCTACACCCTAAACCCTAAACCCTACACCCTAAACCCCAAACCTACAGCCCCCAAATCCCGCAAACGCTGCGTGGCGGAGGGGCTCGAAGTTCTCGTCCCAGTACAACCTCCGAGGAACCACGAAAGGGTAGGGCTAAGGGGGGCTTTGGGGGGGTTCTAGGTTCAGGGTTAGGGTGGAGGTTCTAATAGGGGGATTTTTGGAAGGGCGTTTGGGTTGGGAGAGTCCCGATCCAGACCTCACCGCCGAATGCATGACAACAGAGACGAAGGCCCTCGATGCGTATTGGAGATGGTTTGACCGAAGGTGGGGTAGAGGAGCTTACAAAGGCTCATATCATTCGGGGTCGTATCTACCAGGCGGGTCTCTGTGGATAGGAAAAGAGGGAAGGGGAAACGAAAAGCAGAAGATTGGTCGATTTCGAGTGGACTAAGCAGCTGCAAGTCCCACTGCGCAAGAGCCTAAGAGCACAGACAGAGGGTTTAGGGTTTAGGGTTTAGGGTTTAGGGTTTAGGGTTTAGGGTTTAGGGTTTAGGGTTTAGGGTTTAGGGTTTAGGGTTTAGGGTTTAGGGTTTAGGGTTTAGGGTTTAGGGTTTAGGGTTTAGGGTTTAGGGTTTATTGTTTAGGGTTTAGGGTTTAGGGTTTAGGGTTTAGGGTTTAGGGTTTAGGGTTTAGGGTTTAGGGTTTAGGGTTTAGGGTTTAGGGTTTAGGGTTCTCTTCCACCTCTTGGAACAAGCTTAACAGGGCCTTGGGGTGGGGCGCCAGACGTTCACTGAGGGAGAGGCACAGTCTCGTGCACGTTGCGGTCGCCATACCGGAACCACCACCTAGGCGAGAGGTGGGCAAAAAAAATGTTCCGTCTCCTAGCCTCTGAAACCCCTAAACCCAAACCCTAAGCCCTCAACTCCAGGTTTAGGGTTTAGGGTTTAGGGTTTGGGGTTTGGGGTTTGGGGTTTGGGGTTTGGGGTTTGGGGTTTGGGGCTTGGGGTTTGGGGTTTGGCGTTTGGGGTTTGGCGTTTGGGGTTTGGGGTTTAGGCACCGGTAACCAACAGGTACCTACTGACGGGCCGTTAAGATCGAGGGATATCGAGGGCTTTGTGGAGGTGTTACAGTGCGCAAGCTACCACAAGGGCTCAAGGCACTCGAATCTCGCCTCAGGTGCGCGCGCGAAGATGTGGTGGCTCCGGTCATCCGCCAGGCGCATGGAGAAGTGGACCTGAACCCTAAACCCTAAACTTTCTAAACCCACCCCTAAACCCTAAACCCTAAACCCTAGACCCTAAACCCTAGACCCTAAACCCCCAGCCCCCAAATCCTCCTTGGGCCTTCACTCCAAGACCGCGTGGGATTGAGAGAGGCTGCAAAAAAGGGGCGCCTCAAAAGAAAGAGGGTTCTAGGGCAAAGGGTTTAGGGTTTAGGGGTAGGGCTTAGGGCTCTACAGGCACGCCTAAAAGGGGCTCCTTGTGCAACTTCAATAGGGGATTGTTCCAGTCTCCTGTAGTTCTATGCCCCTTTGAGAACCGTAACCCCTGAACCCTTCAACAGCTCCAAACCGCAGCACCCCAACACTCAGAAACTGTGAAAAGCCCCAACTGAAAATCCCATAGCGACCCCTGAACGCCCTTCACATTCTCCACGAAGCCCTGATTAAACCCCTAAACCCTAAATCCTAAACCAATACTATGTCATACTCATCAAGCCTTGCTACTGAAGCTTTGGGCCTCAATGCCCCGAATCAGCTGCGCGTTGAGCGTCAGCTCGCGCGCCTTTTCGGATTCTTGGGGGCGTTGGGGGATGCAAGGTTTAGGGTCTGGGGTTTAGGGGGTCAAACCCTAAATCCTAAACCCTAAACCCTAAAACCCTAAACCCTAAACCAATAGGGCTTTGGCCCAGAACCCGGAGCTGCCATCAACGCTGATCGAAGTGTCGTTCACTTCCCCACCTTGGCCAAGGGTGTCTTGGCAATGAGCCGCCTCTCAGAGCGCAGGAAAGACGCTGGCGTCTAGGTTTAGGGTTTAGGGTTTAGGGTTTAGGGTTTAGGGTTTAGGGTTTAGGGTTTAGGGTTTAGGGTTTAGGGTTTAGGGTTTAGGGTTTAGGGTTTAGGGTTTAGGGGCTTGGGAAATCTGGACATGGCTGCTCCACATCACTGGGGCGAACGCTGGGGAAGATGCTGCTCCGTAAGCTATGGTCCCTTCTGGGCGAGCTAAACCCTGAACCCTACACCTTCCCTCCGTGGAAGCTCTTTTGACTGAGTAAGTCTACTTAGTATCCCCTACAAACCCTCTTATACTCCCCATAACCCGCCTTAGTAGTCCTACTTACTGAGTCAAAAGAGCTTGCAAGCAAACTCTAAGCCCAGGCCGGAGAACGCAACTCCACTCACACGGCCGGCCTAGCGTCGTAGTTGATCTCTCGCACCGCCACTTCCTTGGTGCCCGAATGCTCAGGAATGGAACACTCCAGAGAGCCTTCTGAAACCTCATTTTGAAGTAGGGTTTCTATCTCTTGTGCCCCCAAAAAGGCCACCCAGTATATACACTCACCAATTTTAAAAAGGAACCTTACATACACTCACCAAAAACAGAGATATCCACCCTACTTCAAATAATTTGAAGCCCCCTAAGGAGCCCCCCTGTGCCAGTGGTCTTTGCTGATTGCGGGACTTCGTGGTGCAGCTCCCTGGTTCGAGGGTTTAGGGTTTAGGGTTTAGGGGTTAGGGTTTAGGGTTTAGGGTTTAGGGTTTGGGGTTTAGGGTTTAGGGTTTAGGGTTTAGGGTTTAGGGTTTAGGGTTTAGGGTTTGGGGTTTGGGGTTTAGGGTTTGGGGCCTACCTTTTTTCAGGGGCTTGAACGGCGCAACAGTGAGTCAATCCTTGAGCGGTCAAAGGGGACTGGAACCTGAAAGGAAACTAAACCCTAAACCCTAAACCCTAAATCCTAAACCCTATAGCCCTATAACCCTAAACCAGACCCCGCGGCCTGAAGGAACGACCCCCAAACGGGGGAGGAGACGAAGGGCTCCCACAATTGGACCTTGCCCACTACCAAAAAAAAAAAAACGAACCCCTAAAGGAAAAAAAACAAATCCCAAATCCCTAAGTCCCTAAATCCTAAACCCTAAACCCTAAATCCCTAAACCCCCCCCCTAAAGGAACCTTCAAAGCCCAAACTCAAACAAACGCTCCAACCTGCGGAAATCTCCCAGGCCCCCGGCGCCCATGACCTCGCGGCCCGCCAGGAGCAGGGACTCCAACGACTCCAGGACAAAGACAAGGTGCTCCACCTCAGGGTTTAGAGTTTAGGGTTTAGGGTTTGGGGTTTGGGGTTTAGGGTTTAGGGTTTAGGGTTTCAGGTTTAGGGTTTAGGGGGGGGGGGTTGTGTTATAGTGGTTTGGGGAGATGGCTGCAATGCTCACGGACTTCCAGATATTGTATTGCTGCTGGGCAAAAAGGCAATAAAGATGCAGCCCTGGCAACCCTAGCATTTTTTAACTCTTGGTCCGCTTTAGGGGGAGGGGTGGTCTAGGGGAGTCGATGGCCAAAGGGCTGGTTCGAGGCGATAAGTCTCAGGGCACTAGGGTAATAGAGTTCTTGGGGCACTGCCCCCTTAAACGCTGAGCCGGAAACCCTAAACCCTAAACCCTAAACCCTAAACCCTAAACCCTAAACCCTAAACCCTAAACCCTAACAAAAAGAACCTAACTCTACGCCCGACTCTCCCCACATGTTTCAAGCTAGCTACTGGTGAACACGCGGGCCTTGCCCCCAGCGGATCTCTGGCTCTAAACCCTAAACCCTACAGGCCCTAAACCTTAAACTCCATACAGGGGTTTTGGGTTTAGGGTTCGGGGTTTAGGGTTTCGGGTTTAGGGTTTAGGGTCTAGGGTTTAGGGTTTAGGGTTTAGGGTTTAGGGTTTAGGCTTTAGGGTTTAGGGTTTAGGGTTCAGGGTTTAGGGTTTAGGGTGCGGAGCTGCAGTTTGTGTTCAGGAATTGTGTTGAGGTTTAAGAAAAAAAAGGGTCAATGTGCCCGGTAATATTATTGGCTCAAGACTGGGCCATGCGCCTGGTAGCAAAAAGAAACCTCGTGTTTTTGGTGTTTGCTGGTTGGTTCAGGGTGAAACCTCTCGCGACTGTTAGGGTTGATTCCTTTCCCCTTTCGGTTGCCCCCGTAGGTTATGAGCCCAAATTAGGTTCCCTGCGGTTTGGGGTTTTCTCAAGGTTTTTGGGATCAAGAAGCAATGCCTTCCCCCAAGCGATGGCTCCAACCTTCCTCGGATGGTGGAAAAGATGGTGGAGCTGGAAGTGGTGCAACTGAGTCTCTGGGTGAAAGGGCGGCGCTGGAAGAGGTAATGCCTGGTGCTGACGAACATCTGGAAGGGACCGCGGTTGCAGAAGGCCCCAATGAGGGTATGAATCCCAATGTGGATATGGTTAGCAATGCTGAAGCTGAAGGACGAGCTGTTGTTGTATCGCCAAAACCTGGGGAAAAGAGGAACTGGGACGCGACTGGCGGTATAGACCGTGAACTGGAGGTGACCGTTTTACGCGTGTTGCACAAGCATGGGTATCAGCCGTCGACTTCAACTTCGGGCCGAATGGTAGATCAAGGGTCTCAGACCAGTCTGAGTGGAGAGATGCTGCAGGCTTCCAGGAGACCTCTGAACAAGATTAAAGAGGATCCCTCGGCGAGTTCCATGGGCGGTGGAAGCGGTTGTGAACAGGAGATGAAGGGTGCGGACAGTTTTGAAGCTGCACCTACTGCTGAATACGCCATGGGGGAGGAGGAGATCCTAGAGATGGAGGTTGGAAGGTTGCGCCAGTTGTCGGACGAAGCGGATGAGATGCGCCAAGTCTCTGGAGCGGACGGTTTTCAGAAAGACGAGCATCTGGTTCGAGCGTGTGATGGGACAACTTGGGAGTGGCATATCCACGAAGATGGGAGACAGTATTACTACTGCCTGGATACGAAGGAAAGCAAGTGGACGTTGCCGCATGTAGGTGAAAAGGTGAAAAGCGACCACGTGGTTGGGTCTCCTTCGGGCAATGGGCTGGAAGTGGAGACTGAACTGGGTCCTTCATCGACTACACCGACACCTGAGTCTACGAAAGCATTCCAGGGTAGTGTAAATAGTTTAGGTGAAAAAGATTTTTCCTCTACTATTGGGGATAGCGGTCTTAGGGATGTTGGTGACGCCCAGGCCTCGGGTTCTCCTAACGAGGAAGGAAGTTCTGGATTCCAAACAGTCATGGCTGGAGAACATCTGGATCGGGAAGAAATGAAAGTACTTTCTGAGGGTGTCGCAGCGGTGAAATCTGTGGATCCGGAGGAAAAAGTTCCCAATGCGGAGGTGGATGCTGTGTCGGCTACAGAAGAGCGAGTGGTGGATGAGGTATCTGGCATTCAGGAGGGTGGTCCTGAAGATCTGGAGGACGAAGGGAAAAAATCCTGCGTTACGACTGAGGAGGTCTCTTCGTTTGGTGCCATGAATTCTGCCATTCAAAGGGAAAATGAAGCTTCTGGAATAGCTGGAGACACGGTTGATCTGAAGGATGAGGCCTGGAGCGCCAATGAAGCGCGGGTCAATGTGCCAGATAGTACCTGGAGTGCAAAGGAGGCACAGGTTGAGGCACATATGGTTTTATGTTCCGCGGACGACTGCAACAATGGGGCGCAGGTCTCCGTAGTAGCCAACGATGGAGGCTCACAGGTGGACGCACTAGTGCAGCTTGAAGTTGGTGGCGAGGAACAGAATGACAAAGGCTACACCGGAGCCAATGCGGCAGCTGTGGTCAATGATGGTGATGATTCTCTTTTGGCAACCATGGAACCAAAGGAGCCTGCGGCGGAAGAAAATGTGCCTGCCGTGGATGACCAATCAAACAACCCTGCGGTGGAAGAAGATTTGCCTGCTGCAGATGATTCAACAAAGGACTCAAATGGTGAGTCCTCCTTCAAGAAGGAAGAAAAAGTGCCAGTCGAAAGCCTGACGGAAGTCGACACCGTTCAGATTTCAACCGACGAGGCAGAATCATTGGTTCAGAAAGGAGACGGTCCTGAATTCCGGGAGCACAAGGTGGACGAGCTTGTGGGACTCGTGGAGCAGGACAAGCAGCTTGCCTCCAAGGTGGAAACAAGGGATGTTCCGGGAGCCGAAGAAACAATTCCGGTTTCTGAAGAACCAACGAAGAAAGTGCCCAAAGAGGGAGCCTTGGATACACCTGGGGAGCATTGCTATCAAGCGGGAGATCGGATCGTTGGTCTAGTGCGCTGCATCAATGGGCATGGAGCTTTTTTGGACCATGGCGATATGAATGTATTGATTCCTGCAGAAGGGAAGGATACACCTCTTTTCAAAATTGGTGACACTGTCAATGGAACAGTGAAAAGGGTGGAAGATGATGGTACCGTGATCTTGGACACCTTCCTGGTTTTGGAAGAGGACGAGGAGGACTCTTCTTCGACGCTGCGCAAATGGAAAGACAGCGGCTGGGGTACGTGGTGGACAGATTCATGGTATGCTGGTCAATGGTACCAAGATTCCAACGGTCAATGGGACTGGAAATGGGAAGAAGGGCAATCCGATGAGTGGTTTGCTGATCAGGAGTTATCCTCAGAAGAACAAAAGGAAAGGCAACTCTATGGAGAAAAGATCTATAGAGCTCTTCTGGAGGATGAAAAAGCAGATAAGGCCTATTTGGGCAAAATCACTGGGATGTTGCTGAGTCGTCCAATAGACGAGGTTATGGAGTGTGTCGCAGATCATGCATTCCTGAATAATGAAGCTCGGCGTGCATACGGCATCTTGCAAAGTGATGGTTGGAAGCCCGATGGTACAGAATGTGCAGGCTTGGAAAAAACAACCACTTTTTCCAGGAAGCAGTACCACAACGCGCTCTACGAACTGGCACGTAAGAAAAGGAGATATAGTGGACCAGTTGTGGGTGAAGCGGTGGCAATGTTGCTAAGCCAAGGCAAAGATGAACTTTGGAATGCGCTTTGGCTGGATACCAAGCGGTTTTTGCAGGAGCTTGATGGTGCAGTTGAATCTATGAGTAAGAGGGAAAACAAGCCAATGGAAGCCTACATGGACCCGGATCAGTATAGGAAGGCTCACATGACGCCAAGAACTGTGTCACCAGGGTACAGCAAGCTGTGCAAATTCTTCAATCAGGGAAGGTGTCGCAATGGAGATGAGTGTTCCTATGAACATCGTCGTTATGGTGAAGGTTGGCCAGGAGGAGGACCAACTGAGCCAAAGAACAGCCAAAAAGCTGGAGACGAGGATGGGGACATTGGTGGCCCGCCAACTGACGAAGGTGCAGTGGATGAGGCGCAGCAGGAGCGGGAGGATTCGGCCTTCCGTGCCCAGTACAATTATGGCAAAGGGACATCAAAAGGTGAGCCTACGTTGGGTGAACCAAAAAAGCAGCTGTGTCTGTATTACAATCAAGGTGGTTGCAGGTTTGGGAGTTCGTGCAGGTATCTTCACGATGATGAAGCAGTATTGGAAGGGACTTGGGAGCCCGGCAAGGCTTGGGACAATGCTTCCAGGAAGGCGCTACGGGACGCAGGGTTCCACCATTGCTGTTTCGATTATTACCTCACAGATTTTTCTACGCCATCCTCGTGGAGTCCATTGCTCCCACCTTCACCATCCTGTTGCCCAGTCTCTTCGCCAGAAATTTGTCCTGCTCCCTCTAGCACCGTCTCCTGTCCAGCCACATCTTGCCCAGGTAGAACTTGAGCGCTTTCAGATACATTCACCTGTCCAGCAACGCCTTGCCCAGGTAAAACCTCATCTGTGGAGCCCACCACCAGCGAACCATCACCAACAGAACCATCCACGGTCCCATTTGAGACTGCAACATTTTGGTTTGAAGATGTTGACACCGAAAAATCTTGGCGGGTCTCCCCCCGCGACGCTTTGTCGCGTTCTTCGCCAAGATCAATTGATTTTTGATGCTCTCCATTGGAGCTTGGAGAACCAGTAGGTGGAACATTGCCACATGTCTCAGTTCTCTGTAATTCCCTTTCACGTAGAAAGGTTTCCCACAGGTGTCGTGCGGTACTAGTCTCTTCCTCGCTTGAATCACCTGAGGACTCGGCAGAAGAGACCAAAGCCCCTGCCTGATCATCATCATCCACCACATCTGCCCATGCTCTGCTAAACCGATACGACAAACCACCACGAGGAGGCTGCAACGGCTTCGGCTTTTCCACCACCTCTGCAGGCCGCACACGCCGATTTGAAAAAGACCGCGGTACCTGTCGGACTTGTCGTCGATCCAGCAATGGTCGCCCTCTCTTTACAGGGTTTGACCTTGACCTGTAAACCTTTTTTGGTGGATTCACCGGCGGCATTCCAACCCCCACCAATTGCAGCTTCTGTACGCACAGCGGAGACCTCTGCGCAAGCGTCCAAGTGTCACGGTACTCGCCCTTGTCAAAAAGCGCTCGATAGGACCCTCGCGGCATCGCTTTTGTACCGGAACCTTCAGCTTCACGCACTTGAGAGAGGGTTCTCACCGCCTCTCTTCCAGCTTCATTGCTTCCAGAAGATTGTTGCAAACGTACAGATGCATCGGAAGGAACAGCCTTTTCCGGTGCCCCTGGGCGGTATCGGACACCACCCACCAGTTTCAGAATTTTGCAGGCTGTAACCTTGTTGATCCCTTCGTCGACCAAATCTTCCACAAAGATGTACTCCTGCAGGTCCGACACGCTGGTCACACCAAGTGTAATCATTACCTCACTTACATGAGGGGTATACACCCAAAGGTGTTTGTTGCGAGCCATCCAATTTTCTATTGGCTCGTCTGGATTTTGAAGCAGCGCATCAGTGGACTCTGCCACCGAATTCTTTTGTACATCATCTTCTGCTCCATCCAGAGTATCCACTTCACCTTCTTTTTGTGACACATTGGTCATTTGCAACGCTTGTGGCGCTGAGGAAGATGAAGATTCAGCTCCCCCACTTGCAGGTGGTTGAAAAGTACCCCTGACCGAAATCTCCAATCCTCTCTCGTGTTGAAACCGGACCTCATTGGCCACATTTGCCAAATATTTCAGCTGGGTCAGTCGCTCATTTGTCATCTCGTCGTGGGAAAATCTGCAAGTATTGAACCGCTTACGGCACTGTCCTCCTGTCTGTATGGTGCAAAAAAGCCATGAGCAACTATGGACCAGAGGTCTGCTAAATCGGATCTATTGGAAAGTTGCCGAGGGTAGGATACCCGTTGGACAGAAGGATTGTCCGAAAGGATCCAATAAGATGGATCGAAATTTGGTTATAAGTGTATCTTCGGACGGCGCGAGTGAACAAGAGTTGAGTCTGGAGATGGTGGACAATGCTGGCTTTTCAATGGGAGATGGTGCAGTATTGCAGGTGTATGACCCACGAACGTTGATACAGTCACCAATGACCGAGTGGGTTGTGCGTCGTGGTTTGGCCGATCGTGCCATATGGCCCGCAATAGCGGCTTCAGCGCGGAAGATATGTGCTGAAATGATTCAAGTGGACGAATTGAATGCCCAGTTGGAGACTGGGAGACTCCTTATTCAAAGGAGAGATGAAGGACATTATGGTGAATTTCATCATTCGTTCCATGGTGCTCCGTGTTTGCCAGCGGTGGGAAATTATCCTCTATCGGTGATGGGTGTATTGCTATCTCCTGGCCTGGAAAGGGAATTCAGAAATACTGAAAAGTTTGGAACTGCCATGGAGGCAATAGCCTACGATTGGAGCCGTATTCCAGGCATGGAAGTTCACGTTGGACTTATGGCCAGGGTAGCAGGACTGGTTCATCCGTTCCTTACTCTAGGAGGTCAAGGGATGGTGGTGAACTCAGAATTTATCTGGCAGCGCGGAAGGGATCAATTGATGGAATTTCTTCAGGCGGCGACGTGTGCTGATGAGTTGGAAGAGCTCTGGAAGCGGATGGAAGATGATGAGGATGCAGAAGTGGATCCTTCAGGGATGGTGCTGGAGATCTCTGGACAGCAAGAGGCGGTTCTTGGACAAGGGATCAATGAAATCCTTCTTCCTATAGAGGATGCTGGAAGTGAACTGACTGGTGATACTGGAGCTGATGGCAAAGCGCCAGAAATTGCCCCAGAAGAAGAAACGACCAGTGGTTCGTCAAGACTGTCTGGCACAAGAATGTTCTTGTGGTCGGTGTATTCTCGAGTTGCTTCCAACTGGGATTTTTCGATGCAAGACCGCACAACTGGGAGAATCTTTGACAGTACGAAAGGGTATCCTGGTGAAGGACCGAATGGTGGTGATGACTTGTTTTCCTCTAAGAGGAACTTACCCTGGATCTCGGAAGATTATCTCGATGGAGTGATGTTAAAAAAGATGGAAACGTCTTCAGAGATGAGTGTGTTGGATGGGTTTGTTCCGGAAAGTGAGGGACAGTTGGAAAAGGTAGAGGTGGAGAATGTAGCTGCCTCTAGAAATCTTATGGCTCTTTGGAAAAAGGGGTATAGAGCCGGGTTTAGGAGGTTGTGTCGTTCGAATGTATCTGGACTCAAGGTTGGAGTAACAAACCATCCAATCAAAAAGGTTCGGAAGATCGGCACTAGAAAAGCCCTCTTGAAAATGCTCAATATTTGTGGTTCCTCTCAGAATGGCTCAGGAGCTGGTGGGAAACCAATCATGAAGGTGATAGGACCAAGGCCAGGTTTTCCAGCTGTTCTTGATGCATCAAACATTGATAGCACCTTGGGTGAAGGGAGCAGTTCTCAGGTACATGACAATGTTCGTGTAGAGCAGAATCGCCCTATGGACCGGTACGAAGCGGAGCGTCTGGAGAAGAGGAAAAGAGGCATCTGCTATTGGTTCAGCAGGGGAAAAGATCGCTGCAAATTTGGTGAGAGTTGCAAATTCATCCATTCAAAGGATGATGTGGTGCTACAATCGTATTGGTGCAAATATTATGTGGCTGGGAGACACTGCTACGCTGCAGAGGACTGCAAGTTTTCGCACGACGCAACTGGTGTAAGGTGTATTCAGTTTGCTCAGTCTGGGAAATGCCGTCATGGGGACAGGTGCGTCTTCGAACATGGTGATCCGCTGGATGGGCCGAGGCCAAGGTCGCCGGCTACACCACCAAGGGAGCGTCCCGCGAAGGGCGATGGTGGAAGGAGGTTTTCTCCAGAAAGGGGAGACGATCTTGATGATGACATGGAATATGATGAGGAAACCCAAAAGAGCAACCTCATTATCGAAGCGGTGTCATACATGTCTGGTGGGAGGGACGACATCGACCGTTATGAAGGGGAGCCGATTTTTAAGCTCTTGAAGATAGCTGACGATGATCAGAAAAACTCAGAGTGGCTCTCGTGGACGGACAAGATGTTATCCGCGCTGGAGTTGTATGAAGTGGTTAGATCTGTGGATATTCCGCTGGAAGAGGTTGAGGAATGGGTGAATGGTTTAAGAATCTGGTACGAAAATGCTCAGCTGGATGGGGGAAGCGACACCAATGGTGGGACAAAAAGGCCTTTGGAAGAAAAGGTCGCTGATGAACCTACAGTTGAGGAGGAAGTACCAGAGGTCACAGAAGTGATCGTCGAGGTGGATGAGGAGCCAGAGAAGAGCCGAAAGAAGAGGAGGCTTGCTGCAACACATGATCCATACACCATGCTGGTTCCAAGGCCAAAAAAGAGGCCAATTGGCGCCACTCCGGTGGAAGCAAAAAAGGCAGCAGTTTCCGAGGTTGAAAAACCCTCGATTCAAAAAGGGGAGAAAGCTTCTCATCGAGTGCGATCAAAACCTGGCAGTTCTGCAAGTCGGCTACAAAAGAAGGAGAAGGCACTCAGTCCCAAGAAAAGGGACGCAGCACCAAATGAAGGAGGAGAGCCTGTGAATAGGGGACAAGCTTCTGGTTCGGTTTCCTCAGAATCAGTTACTGTCACGCCACAGGAGACCGCATCGTGCAAAGCGATAGAGGAAGCGCGACGAGAAGGATTGGTGTCCTCCATTCAGTGATGTTTGACTGATCCGGTGGTTCAAGTTCGAGATCTGGAGAGCATTTTGGTGCAGCTGCATAAAATCTGCGAAGCTGGTTGGGAGACGAACAAGTGACTGGTTTTCAAAGATGGGACGCGCGGTAGTTCCTTTTCCTGGTGTTGGTGACAATTTGCAGAATGGTGGGTGGAAAGACCAATGAGTCAAGGAAAAAGGAGTAAGGTTTGCTATTAAGGGTAGGGAAATCCCTGATAGTAGAGAGTGTACAGCACTTAGGGTAGTGAAGACCGCGATTCGTGGTGACGAAGGCTGAAAAGGTCTTCAAAGATGAGTGAATTATAGAGGGGAAAAGATCCTCATGGTATAATGAGTTCAGCCAATGCGTTGGTAAAAATCCGTCCTGGAAGACGTTAAACCACTATATGCATTTCAAGCAGCTGGCTGCTGCCGATAATGGCAGTTTTTGGCCTAGAATCTGCACCTCCATTTTGTGTCCTAGGAAATCCTAGGACAGGGGGAGTGCGGAGCTGCAGTTTGTGTTCAGGAATTGTGTTGAGGTTTAAGGAAAAAAAGGGTCAATGTGCCCGGTAATATTATTGGCTCAAGACTGGGCCATGCGCCTGGTAGCAAAAAGAAACCTCGTGTTTTTGGTGTTTGCTGGTTGGTTCAGGGTGAAACCTCTGGCGACTGTTAGGGTTGATTCCTTTCCCCTTTCGGTTGCCCCCGTATAGGGTTTAGAGTAGAAAACTCCAGAAAGTTGGAACGTGGTTGAAGGATGATTAGGGCTGGGATTCCCTTAGTATACCTTTTGGGGTATGGAGATAAGGATGTTCCTACTTTTTGGAGCTTACTGAAAACCCTAAACTCTAAGCCCTCGAAACCCTACATCTCTAAACCCAAACCCGCCCAAACATCCCAAAAGGGAGCCTCAGAACTCCCCAAATCTCCCACAACCCTAGATCCTAAACCCGTACTACCCGCTTCAACAGCCTTGAGGGGCGTGGCCAAGGGCGCGTTGTCCTGCGCTGCTCTGGGGACTTGAGTCTTCAAGAAGGGGGGCGGACGGAACCGGCGGTTGAGGGCTTGAGGGCTTTGAGAGGGTATTGGTGTTTTGGGTTGTGAGGGTAGGGTTTCCGGGGGTTGGAGGGGATGGCATGGCGATCAGAGTCCTACAAAAAGTCCCTTGATGCAGGGTCTTCAAGCAACCCTAGCACTCTGCAACCCCTACACACTATGCAGGGTCTAGCGCAAGAACCCCCCAAACCCACCAAAAACAAATAGACCTACTTTTGTAGGTCGCGAAAGCGCTTAGGCCTTCAATCCCCTCCCAAGAGAGGCGGAACTTGGGTGCCTGGAAATCCCAGACGCCCTCAAAAGGCTTGGCCACCTCGGGGTGGGTGGGAGGTGGGGTTAGGGTTTAGGGTTTAGGGTTTAGGCTTTAGGGTTTGGGGTTTGGGGTTTGGGGTTTGGGGTTTGGGGTTTGGGGTTTGGGGTTTGGGGTTTGGGGTTTGGGGTTTGGGGTTTAGGGGTTTAGGGGTTAGGGCTAGGGTTATGGGGGCGGGGGGCAAGTCGGAGGGGGGGAGGTCTGGGGGCCCCCAAGCCGGGTTCACCCTGGGCCTGGTACCCTAAGGCCCTAAACCCCCTAAACCCCGAACCCTAAACATTTGTTGGAGCCTCTAAACAAACTTGAAGCCCTAGAGTTCAGAGGGGGCAGGGAGGAGAGTTTGGTTTAGGGTTTTGGGCTTGTAGAGCTCAGGGCCTGAGGAATTGCCCCTCTAAACTTTTGGAACCCCGAAGCCCTGTGAAGCTCAAACTGACGAACGTTCCTTCAACAGTTTGCAACCCTCAAACAACCCTCTTAACCCTGCACCCCCCCCCCAACCCCAAAACCCTCCATACCAACCCTACACCCCAACCCTAACCCCAAAGCCCTAAACCCCAAACCCTAAACCCCAAACTCAAAACCCCAAACCCCAAACCCTAAACCCCAAACCTAAACCCCAAACCCTCAAGCGCGCCTCCCTTCGCAGCCCCTCCGGGGCGCCCCGGGTGAGGATGGAGAGGGCCTCGCTGGGTTTGAGGGTTCCTTGATTCCGCCCTCAAGACCCTATTCAGGGTTTAGGGTTTAGGTCCTAATTTAGGTTGTAGAGCTTTCGAGCCCTTGGCCCTGCGCTCTACAGACTCTACAAGACTCCCCCAAACCTGCCCCCTCTAAACCCTAAACCCTAAACCCTAAACCCTAAGCCCCGTCTAAACCCTTGGGTTTAGGGTTTGCAGCCCAGGGTGGGCTCTCGACCCTGGACAAAAGAAAGCCCAGGGCGTAGGGTTTTAGGGATCTAGAGGTACCCAACAAAGGCTTGTTGAGGGTTTAGGGGGTTTGGGGGTGTTGGGTTTAGCCATAATTCAGCACCACGCCCAACATCACGATTCCCAGGCCCTAAGCCCCTCAAGTTTAGGGTTTAGGGTTTCGGGTTTCGGGTTTAGGGTTTAGGGTTTAGGGTTTCAGGTCACTGCCGGCCCAGGCCTTCACCAGCTCTCGCATGTAGCGGTGCCTGAAGGGCTCCCCACACACGTCTGCGACTTTCCATGGGTTTTTGGCGGTTAGGGGATACATAACCATAATAATAATAATAAGAAGAAGAAGAAGAATACTAATTTTAATAATAATAATAATAATAATAATAATAACCTGATAACGAGAAGAAGAAGAGTAACAATAGTCACAGTAGTAGTCATAAATAAGAACAAGAACTATAACAATAAATCGCGATGAGCATCAGTCCGAAGCCCTAGACCTCAAAGTCTCTCCCCATACTTCCCCCCCCCCCCCCCCCCGAAACCCCCCCCCCCCCCCCCCCCGCCACCGCCACAGCCACAGGGTGCAGGAGTGATAGGGGGAGAAAACCATCTTTCGTAGTGTAGGTGAAGTGGAAGGAACCCGTGTTCCGGTGGAAGGCTTCTGCAGGCTGTTGAGGAGCTTCGGGGGAATCTGGGAATCTGGGCTCTTCTGCCCGGACTCGGAAGTCCCCAAGCAGGGCTAAGGTAAAGTTACTTCATTCTGCTTGCGAAGCGCTGCTGGGAGAACCTCTCACACTGAGTTAGGGGCTCTGGGTTTGCCCCACTCACCCCCCGAGACCCTGCAAGCGAACCCTACACCCCAAAACCTCTAACCCTAAACCCCAAAACCTCTAACCCTAAACCTTGAACCCTAAACCCTAAACCCTAAACCCTAAACCCTAAACCCTAAACCCTGAACCCCAAAGACCTCTAACCCCTCAACCGCCCCCAAGTGCCGACTTAGGTTCAGCTGGAGATCGGTCGGGAGGTTGTTGTGGTCCAGGAGGGCCTTCACCTGCAACGAAGAGCTTTGAGGTGCAGGGGTTTAGGGTTTAGGGTTTAGGGTTTAGGGTTTAGGGTTTAGGGTTTAGGGCTTAGTGTTTAGGGTTTTGGGGTTTAGGGTTTTGGGGTTTAGGGCTTGGGGAGCTCTGCAGGTTTGTTGCAGCTTTTTCGGGTTAAGGTTTAGGGCTTCGAGCTTAAGGCTTGGGAATGCACACCTCTCAGGCCCTAGCAGTCCTGCATTTTACAAAGGAGTTTAGGAATTAGGAATTAGAATTAGGGCTGAGGGTTGAGGGTTGAGGGTAGAGGGCTTAGGGTTGAGGCTTTGAGGGTTAGGGTTTGAGGTCCTATCTCGGAAAGCTTTCCAGGCTCCAATGCCCTCCCCCCCCCACCCGCCTGTGCAGCCGCCTGCCTGGTGTAGTCCTGGAGACGCCGGAGGCCATCTGGCCTGGACTAAGGATGGTTGTTTAGGGTTTAGGACTTAGGGTTTAGGGCTTAGGCTGGTTTAGGGTTTAGGATTTAGCATTTAGGATTTAGGATTTAGGATTCCGGGCTTGGGTTTAAGGGCTGAGGGAAGGTAGTTAGGGCTTAGGCTTACGGTTTAGAGTGCAGGGCGTGGGGTTTAGATTTGGGCCTGGACTGAGGGGCGTTTAGGATCCAAACTTGACTTCATAACGACATCCGGTTGAGAAATCTTTAGATTGAACCCTAAACCCTAAACCCTTAAACCCCTAAACCCCTAAACCCTAAAACATAATGGAAGCAAAGGAACCGGAAACGCAAGCGAGCCGTGAAGATCGCAATCTCACGATGCACTCACACCTACCAGTAAATACCCGCATACGGGAGTTTTCGAAGTCAGGGGTACCTTATTGAGGTCCTTGTTGTAAGGGAATCCTGCTATTTGGGGGGGACTGTATTAGGAGCCGCTTAAAGTCGCAAGCCCCAATGTCTTTGCCAAGCCATGCTCCAAACACAGAGTTTCCAGTGTGACAGACGGTGCTGCAGCGCAAAGTGCATCGAGGAGCTCCCCATCAGGCAAGACCACGCGAAGGGAACCTTCAAAACTTCTGCCCTGCCCACCGCTCAACCGAAGTGCCAGCTGTCGAGACGTCTCCACTGCCAGGTCAGATCTGTGGCCCCGAACACGCAGCAGCTCAACGCCGTCCAAACCCAAACAGATCAGAATGATGGCATCGCCTTCGCCAATAAACTGCGCCTGAACAACACGATGTTGACTAGGGCTTCGTGCCGAATCGACGTAGCGAAGAGTAGGGGTCGAAAAGCTCAACCACTCACTCCAGCTCTGCAAAGATGGAATGCTGACTTGTCCCAAGGAGTTGTGTCCACAAGCTATGACGTAGCCATCACTTCGAAGAAGCACGGTGTGCAAACCACCTGCAGAAACTTGGGTGTAGAACAAACCTGCAGGTAAAGGTGGAAATTCGGATTGACCCCAAGAATTGCAGCCGCAGGCAACAGCACAGCCATCACTTCTGAGAAGGACGGTGTGGCGAAGACCTGCAGAGATCTGTTCATATGAGACGCCCTCCTCCAAAGGTGGAATCTCGCATTGCCTGTTGAAATTGCTTCCGCAAGCCACGGCACGTCCATCACTTCGGAGAAGCACTGTATGGAAAAGATTTGCAGAAACTTGAGTGTAAGACACCTCCCCAGGTAAAGAGGGAATCTCGCACCGCCCGAAGTGATTGTTGCCGCTAGCCACTGCACTGCCATCACTTCGAATCAAGACTGTACTAAGTTCCGCGGCAGAAACTTGTGTGTAAGACACACCCTCAGGTAGGAGTGGAATATCACACTGCCCATGAGAATCGCTTCCGCAAGCAAGGGCGCTGCCGTCACTTCGGAGAAGCATTGAATGAACTTTCCCTGCAGAAACTTGGGTGTACGACAAACCCCCAGGTAAAGGTGGAATATCGCACTGCCTCGCGCGATTGCTGCCACAAGCAACTGCGCTGCCATCACTTCGCAGAAGGATTGTATGATCAAACCCTGCAGAAACTTGGATGTACGACAACCCCTCAGGCAAAGGTGGGATATCACACTGCCTCTCCCGATTGTTTCCGCACGCAACAGCGCTGCCATCACTTCGGAGAAGGACTGTATGATAGCTACCGGCAGAAGCCATCGAAAACGCGTTTGCAGTCGTGAGCAACGGGTTTCTGTCCGCTTGAATCTCACAGTAGCGGTTGCCAATTAAACAACACAACTCCCTGGCCATCTGCATGCCAAACAGTCAAACACACGCCGATGATTCTGTGGAGAACTTTTGAAGACTCACTCCTCTGATCCTCCTTAACCACCAGTACGGGTTCCAGCTGCAGTTAAGCCCTAAGGTCCTAGGCCCCGAACTGTTTCGGGAGCTTTGGGGATATTTAGACAACTAGGGACTTGGGCAGGCCTCCCCTTCCCAGGTTTAGGGTTTAGGGTTTAGGGTTTAGGGTTTAGGGTTTAGGGTTTAGGGTTTAGGGTTTAGGGTTTAGGGTTTAAGGTTGAGGGCTCAAAAACTAGAATCTGCATTTTGCTCAAGTCAGGCAACAACTGCCCTGGGCTTGGTGAGAGCTGACCACCGAACGAAAGGGAACCCAGCGCAGCACATGCACATCTTCCGAATGACCTCGCAAATCACACACAACTTCAACACCCTGAGAACCCTGAAGCCCTAAAAACCCTTCTAAACATAATGAAGGGCCCTAAACAAGAGTCAAAAGCCCTAGGAACTTAAAAAGCCCTAAACCCCAAACCCTAAACCCTAAACGCCCTAAACGCCCTAAACGCCCTAAACGCCCTAAACGCCCTAAACGCCCTAAACGCCCTAAACGCCCTAAACGCCCTAAACGCCCTAAACGCCCTAAACGCCCTAAACGCCCTAAACGCCCTAAACGCCCTAAACGCCCTAAACGCCCTAAACGCCCTAAACCCTAAACCGGGTCCAGGGTTTAAAGGGTTGAACCCTTAAACCGGAGTTTGAGAGCACCCCGAAACACCTGTGGGCGCTTGGGCTCCGGACGCTTCGGTCTCCATGCAGCCCGCAACCGGGCCCAAGAACGTGTTTGTTAAAGGCTGCTTGGCGGGTTTCGGGTTTATAGGGTTCAGGGCTTCGGGTCAAGGGGTGGGGTTTAGGGTTTAGGGTTTAGGGTCAAGGGTTTGGGGTTTAGGGTTTAGGGTTTAGGGTTTGGTGTTTAGGTCTTAGGGGGGCTTTTGCTCGGCTTTTCAGGCGTCAAGGCCTGGTCTCTTTTGAAGTGGGCTTTAGGTGTTGGTGCTTCTCACACACTCCAACTCTGACATGCAAAAACTCTGAGTTCGAGAAGGCCAATATTTCTAAACTCTCAACTCTCAACCCTTAACCATAACAACTTGGCCGTGTGGGAGAGCAGGCTCACAAACAAGGGTGCGCAAGTGACACATTGTGTACAGCGGCGATCCACCGTTTCCGGGCGTGCACGACGCACTCCGCAACAAGATGTGATAGAGGTTGTGTTGGGCACGGGCCCAACTTTGTCGTTCAATCCCAGCGCATTCTATGTCACAGTTCTTTCTAGGTGAAGAAGGAAGAGTCAAATAAGAGCCGTGCCACAGGCTGATAAAGACCTTCCCAAAGAATTTAGCGAAGTTGCGCATCAAGACGATCTTTGGAATCTCCACCTGTATGGACCGCCCCTCAACCCTAAATGCTAAAGGCCCCCTGTCAGCCGGGCCCGAATCCCAGAAGCAGGCTCCCTACACACCAAACGCACTACACTGCGCCCCCGCTGAGACGCCAGTTTACTAGGAACGGCAGCTCGATGCCACAGGCTGAGGCGGGGGGGGGGGGAGGGGCGAAGATGCGTGGAGTATGGTGCGAAGCTCACGGCTAGTGAGCTACAAGGCACACAGCAGGCAATCGGCAGCTCTTCGCCGCAACAGCGGCCGCGGCGATGAGCTGCATGGTATGCAAAAACGCTGATCTCGCACAAGGACACCCGTCCAATCCCCCAGTTTGAAGATCGAGCAATCTGGTTCTGGCCTCCACCCGGTTTGCAGAAAATATGTGGCTGCAGGAGATCACATGCTGAAAGAAGCATACCCTTTATTGTGAATTTCTGCTCGCCTTTTGGAAACAACCCGAGACGGCGCGCGTTGTCTCCAAGACGCATCCAAAGACACAACCTCAAGCTCTGAACCATAAACCCTAAACTCTCAAGCCCCTCTTACGCCCTTAACCCCACGTGTCTCTTGCCGCGGCTCTGACCGTCACATGAGCAGACTTAGCTGCTTCAAAACTCTGCCGGAACTCGCGAGAATGTGTGAGCACCACACTTCCTTGTCTTCAGGGCCGGCTGATCTCTGCGCCTTGACGTATATCGCACACTGGTGACACCTCTGTCCGAAAGCTAAAGTCCAGACTAAAAAAGCAGCAAGCAGGGCGAGTTCCAGGCAGCAAAAGAAGACCGCGGTATTATGTTCAGGCGAAATTCTGGACTCAAAAATGGCGGCGAGGCGTCGTAGCGCCTGCCTTCGCCCACGGAGCTCCGCGAGCGGCTTCCAGAAATCCCTGCTGCCCGGCAGATGCATCCCTGACAGCACCCTCTTTTTAGCTAAACGCTGCACTTGTGCAATTGAACCCGACAGCCTCCAGTGAGCGAAACAGCTAGACGCGCATACTCCACTTCAGGGCCATGGCTTAATTCAGAAATGCCGGCCGGTTTACGATGCGATGCAGCGTTTGCCATCTTCCACAGAAGAGAGAAACCAACTGGAGCACAACAAAGATGAACCGCGGTTTGAACGCAAGTCGCTGTCAGACCCAGCGTTGCCAACCAACTTGCTGAACCTTCCAAGCTTAAGCACCCTACACGGAACTAAGGTGGTGCGAAACATCGCATGCATCATGCTCTGCCTCGGACGCCTCGAGCAATCGCGGTCAGGGCTGAGCAGTTCCAGGGGTTTGCTTACAGAACCCGCCCGCATCATCAAGACAAGCTTCCTGGCTCTTGGCAGGGAACTTTTGAATGAAGGTTCTCCATCCCCTTCGTGGGTTAGTACAAGGTGCCTACTTTCGTACGTCCCTGCCAAGAGCCAGCGCGCGAAAACGGTGAAATAATCTACAAAAAACTCACGGGCGCGACGGTGGCACACCCCTCGAGGCTGCTTCTTGATGCTTCTTGACATCGTGAGCTTCGAAGTCGATGCAAGGGTGGTCGTTTCTGAGGGTTCCCGGAACAAGTGCAAGTACATTGAGCTTGGAAGGGGCGACGCACGAAAGTATGCGACTCTAAGCTTCAGAGGCCTTTCAAAGGGCAAGGTGCAGGGTTTTTTGGGCCAGCCGTTGGTTCAGGCTATGCCGTTAGCTGCTGCCTTGGCAGTTGGGCCTACCTTAGAGGTTGCTTGAAGGTTTTTCGTCCAATGCACAGAGTCGTGCCACATCCACCATGGCCCGCATCATTTTGCAGGAGCCGTCGGCCCGTTTGACTTTCTGCCTTCGAGACGATCTCCGATCAGCCTACTGGCACATGCCACGGAACCGTCACATTCCCACTTGATTACTGCTGCGGAGGTACCCGCTTGAGAATTAGGCTAACCGGGTGAACTGCAACAAGAACAACACACAAGACTTCCTCCACTTGCGCTCACCACAGTCCGCCTCAACTAAATGCACAATCAAAAAGTCGAACACCAGGCGGATCAATGAGCTGGTCGTTCGAATAAGCCCTTACTGGGCCACATGCATCCGACCGGGGGCAGAAGGAGAACCCTTTTTGGCAACAGCCCCCTGCGCCGACCGGAACAGACTATCTACGCGAAGCCCCCATATCCACACCATCAGAGACGCTGCCTCGCGATGAGGGACGGAGAGGCAGATCCCATGCTGCTGCCTTTTCTTTAAACATTTCGGCGAGCTCTCGGAGCTCCAGCCTAGAGCCACTCCCAAGTCCCGAGCACGCCCCCATGGTTGTAGTGGCGAGGGTCGAAAAAGGCCCCGTAAAAGGTTTAGGGGCCCTTTAGGGTAGATGGGCGTGCAGGGCCGAACTTGGGGTACCTTAAGAAGAACCTGGGAGGAAGTCTTCCGTCGAAAGACGCTTTGACAGAAGGGAGTGTGACAACTCCCCACAAGTGTTCCGGCCCCTGCAGTGACGAGCGCTAGCGACAAAAAGACTTCAGGAACCAAGATTAAGGCCCAAATTGTGGTGCAACCTTATAAGATGCAGTCGAGAACGGGATACACTGAAACCCACAACCATGACCGGCAATAAGAGAGTTTTTTTCATCAACCATTCGAACCAAATTCAGACATCTATCTCTGGCACTGCCTGGACAAGAGCGGCTGAAGGTGCTCTTGTCTACATGATTGGAAGGAAAGAACTCCCAACTCCCCGGAAACCCGAACGGCCACCTTTTGAGAACTTCTCTCACACGACTCCGCATCCGTATGGGTTCCGCAGAGTCTGTTGGAGAATTCTACATGCACGCCATCACTCATCCTGTGTCGTCCCTCCAGGTCGGCCCTGGGGAATGAATCTGTGGAAATCTGGCAGCGCTGGAACAGCCACAAGCAACATCACGAAGCAAATGCTCTGCCTGGCGCAAGGTCTGCAGCTCTGCACGTGCTGCCTGCACAAAGCCTGAATGCGGGAGCTTCAAACTATTCTGCTTTAACCGCAGTTTCTTCTTCTCTGTCTCCCTCTCGCGAATGCCCTCCCTCCGCTCCCTCCGCTCCCTCCGACTTCTTTCCGTGCATTCCAAGGCTCCGGGTCGGAACCTCTCCCCCGAGATCATGCCCAGGATCGCGGCGACGCTCATCCGGCTCAGCAAGGCCTCTCAAGCCCGCCGGAGCTATGGCTCTCAGGGCTGTTTTGGCTGTGGGGGCGTTGGAGTTGGGTCTCAAGCATGACATGGGGTTTCAATGGGTTTCATGGGGGCTGACACGGGGGGTACTCTGTATGGGAAGCAAGCCTAAAGTGCTCGACATGGTGCCCCGTCACATCCGAACACAGCCTACAAACGTCCTAAGCGTCCGTCCCAGGTGTCAGCTTTGGTTGGAGCCTATGCAGGGTGGTACAAAAAATTCGTCCGCCCGAGTCCTACAGCCAGTGCAGGCCTGCATCTGCCGTCGCTGGCTTGGCTGAAGCACTTCCGGCTCGAGGCCCTGGCTGGCCGCCGGGCCCTGCAGGCGTTGCATCTCAAACTCGATGAGTTCCAGGGCGTCTGCCAGTTGAGGCTGGCCCTTGCGGATCAAGATCGGGTGTAGCAAGTACAGAACCTCAAGCGGGCTCAGTTTCTGGAAAAGCCCGCGCTGCTTCTTGTCGAACTTTGCCGGTGCATCGTGTGTCCCGTGGCAGTAGCAGCAATCTGCCCCCAACTGGCAATGCCCCTTCCCGAAGTGCACGCACGGACGCGCGCAAAACTCCGGGTGGCCGAGGCTCCCAAGGTGTTGAGGAACTGGCGGCACTGGCGGAGGATCAGCCAAAACAGCCGGAACAGCCGGAACGGCCGGCGCGGCCAGAATGCTGGTGGCGTGTGGCTCGCTATGAGCCAGGGGTGTTGGGACAATGGCATCGTTCTCGTTCGATGGCGCTCCTCCCAGGACCAGCTCAACTAGCAGAAAAAATTAGGAGCAGCCTCTTGCGGCAAGGCTTTGAAAACCCCAGCGTGTCCTGAACCAGGAGCTGTTGCCGGGAAACGTTGGCGGGCCCACCTGCCAGGCAGAAAGTTGGCGGCTGGTCTGAGCAAAGATCTACCAAGATCTCCTGCCTCTGCCTCAGTCTGTGATTGAACTCCTCCATATCGGCCTGCAAGCAGGGTGCTCCAAACCGTGAGCTGCAAGGAGATGACTGCAGAGTTCAGCGCAGACACCCCAGAAGCCCCCAGAAGCCCCGTGTCCCGGTTCCGCCTTGTACTTGGCCGCTTCCTCATCTGGCAGGCTCGCGAGCTCAGGCGTGCTCGCGGCCCGCCGCAACGCCGCTCTTGAGTGCGGCCCTTCTTCTCCGGGTTCCTGCGATCGGGGGAGACACCCAGAGGAAAGAGGACTGTTTAACTTTGGAGCACGGCTCGCCACCTGGCAACATGCCCTCGCCTGCAAAAGAAGGCCTTCAAACACATGCCTGTGGACCTCTGTGCAGGAACCGCTGTCCAGGACATCAAGGAACGTGAAGCGGTACACAATTTCCATGACTCTGCTTGTCCTGGCCGCAAGGACAAGGCTCTGCAAACCACATCCTCAACCCTGAATCCCCTCTCAACCCTTGCAAACACTCACAACCATCGAGTTGCTCTTCAGGTTCTGTTCTGCGGAAAGTGTGCCTGCTGCTTTGTGGAACTTTCGGCAGACCGTTCAAAACCTGAGAAATCTCGAAGAATCTCGCAGTCCTGCTACGTCTGAAGTCAACACTGCCCCAATCCATGCAATCCGCGCAATCCATGCAATCCATGCAATCCATGCTATGGTGCGTCACATACTCCTTCATCATTGAGGTAGCGAGCTGGGGGTGACTGACGCTCTGCAATCCCATCTCTTGCCAGCCTTGACCAGCAAAAAGTTGCCCCACGGGGCGGAACGCCCAGGTTCAAACGCTCACGTCTGCAGAGCCGAGAAAGCGCAGCACGTGGGGTCTGGGGTCATCGGCGACAGGGCTTAGGGTTCACACTGGACAGGATCTACATGGCGAGTCGGTCCAACGCGGACCCTGTAAAATTTCGCATAGAACAATGGTGGAATTGCTTCAGTTGTGCAAAACGATCAAGCAGGCTTCTCAAGCAACTTCAGAGTTGGATTCTCTTCTCAAAGCCCAGCCAAGTGCTTCTCACACACTCCAACTCTGACATGCAAAAACTCTGAGTTCGAGAAGGGCCAATATTTCCAAACTCCTTAACCATAACAATTTCAGGCTCACAAGCAAGGGTGGGCAAGTGACACATCGTGTACAGCGGCGATCCACCGTTTCCGGGCGTGCACGACGCACTCCGCAACAAGATGTGATAGAGGTTGTGTTGGGCACGGGCCCAACTTTGTCGTTCAACCCCAGCGCATTCCATGTCACACTTCTTGCTAGGTGAAGAAGGAAGAGTCAAATAAGAGCCATGCAACAGGCTGACAACAACCTTCCCAAAGACTGCAGCGAAATTGCGCATCAAGAGTATCTTTGGAATCTCCACCTGTATGGACCGCCCCTCAACCCTGAATGCTAAAGGCCCCCTGTCAGCCGGGCCAACCCGAGTCCCAGAAGGACTACCGAAAGCCCTCCGCAACAGGAGGACCATTCTAATCCCCCTAAACCCCCCGGGTTTAGGGTTTAGGGTTTAGGTTTAGGGTTTAGGGTTCATAGGGTATCCCCCCCAACCCCCTCAGCCCCCTCCCCGCTGTGGGAGCTGCCAATTTTTCGTGTTTAGGGGCATCTGCAGTTTGAAGAAGGAGTTTTCTGGTTCTGGCCTCCACCCGGTTTGCAGAAAATATGTAGCTGCAGGAGATTTCATGCTGATAGAAGCATACCCATTGTTGTGAATTTCTGCTCGCCTTTTGGAAACAACCCGAGACGGCGCGCGTTGTCTCCAAGACGCATCCAAAGACACAACCTCAAGCTCTGAACCATAAACCCTAAACTCTCCAGCCCCTCTAAGGCCCTTAACCCCAAGCCCCTCTAAGGCCCTTAACCCCACGTGTCTCTTGCCGCGGCCCTGACCGTCACACAAGCAGACTAAACTGCTTTAAAACTCTGCCGGAACTCGCGAGAATGTGTGAGTACCACACTTCCTGGTCTTCAGGGCCGGCTGATCTCTGCGCCTTGACGTAGATCGCGCACTGGAGACACCTCTGTTCGGAATCTAAAGTTCAGGCTCAAAAAAGCAGCCGATACCCGAGGAAACTGCAAGCAGGGCGAGTTCCGGGCAGCGAAGATCCCAGCGTGTTCAGGGTTCTGGGTTCAAAAATGGCGGCGAGGCGCGGTAGCGCCTTCGCCCACGGAGCTCCGCGGGCGGCTTCCAGAATTCCCTGCTGCCCGGCAGATGCATCCCTGACGGCACCCTCTTTTTTAGCTAAACGCTGCACTTTTGCAATTGAAACCGACAGCCTCCAGTAAGCGAAACAGCTAGACGCGCGTACTCCACTTCAGTGCCATGGCTTAATTCAGACATGCCGGCATGTTTACGACGCGATGCAGCGTTTGCCATCTTCCACCAGAAGAAAGAAACCAAACTAGAGCACAACAAAGATGAACCGCGGTTTGAACGCAAGTCGCTGTCAGACCCAGCGTTGCCAACCTTAAGCACCTTACACGGAACTAAGGTGGTGCGATGCATCATGCTCTGCCTCGGACGCCTCGAGCAATCGCAGTCAGGGCTGAGCAGTTTTGCAGAACCCGCCTGCATCATCGAGAAAAGCTTCCTGGTTCTTGGAATGGAGGTCCCCTTCCCAAGAACCAGTGCGGGAACGATGGAGGAAGAACCTACAAAAACCACGGGCGCGATGGTGGCACACCCGACCAGGTGCTCAAGTCTTGTGCTTATCTGAAGATGCCTGTCCGATGCGCAGAGTCGTGCCACATCCACCATGGCCCGCATCATTTTGCAGGAGCCGTCGGCCCGTTTGACTTTCTGCCTTCGAGACGATCTCCGATCAGCCTACTGGCACATGCCACGGAACCGTCACATGCCTGCTGCGGTTACTTGGTGCTGGCAGCGGTAGCTTGGGAAGAAAAAAACCCAAACCGCTTGAGAATTTGGCTCACCGGGTGAACTGGACTCATCCTGGACGCTCACCACAGCTCGCCTCAACTAAATGCGCAATCAAAAGAATCGAACGAAAAAGCGACTCAATGAAGCTGTGCTCTTGGAATCAGCCCTTGCGCGGGGCCACAAAGTATAGGGTCCTTGAGGGAAGGGGGTTCATGGGGGGCGTAAGTACCTGGTAAGTTACCTAGGGAACTTCTAGACCACCTCCCTTACGGACCCTATAAACACATGATGCGGGCACGGGGAGAACCACGTTTGGGAAAAGCCCCCTGCGCCGACCGGAACACGCTATCTACACGAAGCCCCCACATCCACACCATCAGAGACGCTGCGATGAGGGACGGAGAGGCAGATCCCATGGGCGGCTGCCTTTTTTTGGAATATCCGAGCTCTCGGAGAGCTCTGAGAGCCACTCCCAAGTCCCGAGCACGCCCCTTGTTCTGAGTGGTGCTCTATGTCTAGGGGCCCGGTTAAAGGTGAACGGCTTAGGGGGGGCCCAAAGGGTTTCTGGGCGTATTGGGCCGAGCTGCCATGGTACCTTGAGAACCTGGGAGGAAGCCCTCCGATTCGAAAGCCGTTTTGACAGCAGGGAGTGTTAAACCTCCCCGTAAGCGCTCAGGCCCCCTGCAGTGACCAGCACTAGCGGAACAAAAGACTTCTGGAACCCAGATGAAAGGCCCAAATTGTTTGGGGCGAGAACGCGACCCAAACTCATGACACCACTCTCTGGCACTGCATGGAACAAGAACAGCCGAAGCTGCTCTTCTTTGAATGTTTGGAAGGAAAGGAAGAACCCCCAATCTCCTTGGAAACCCGAACGGCCACCTTTTGAGAACTTCTCTTTTCTTGGACTCGTTCTACAGCTCTCACACAACTCCACGCATCCGTACGGGTTCCGCAAAGGTCTGTTGGAGGTTTCTGTGCGTACGCCATCACTCATCTGTGTCGTCCCTCGACTCCAGGTCATCCCTGGGCGAATGAATCTCTGGAAACTTGCCAGCGCTGGAACAGCCACAAGCAACATCACGAAGCAAATGCTCTGCCTGGCGCAAGGTCTGCAGCTCTGCACGTGCTGCCTGCACAAAGCCTGAACGCGGGAGCTTCAAACTATTCTGCTTTTAACCGCAGTTTCTTCTTCTCTGTCTCCCTCTCGCGAATGCCCTCCCTCCGCTCCCTCCGCTCCCTCCGACTTCCTTCCGTGCATTCCAAGGCTCCGGGTCGGAACCTCTCCCCCGAGATCATGCCCAGGATCGCGGCGACGCTCATCCGGCTCAGCAAGGCCTCCCAAGCCCGCCGGAGCTATGGCTCTCAAGGCTGTTCTTGCGTCTCAAGGGCTACGTGGGGTTACATGGGGTTACATGGGCATCAGTGCTGGCCTGCATCTGCCGTCGCTGGCTTGGCTGAAGCACTTCCGGCTCGAGGCCCTGGCTGGCCGCCGGGCCCTGCAGGCGTTGCATCTCAAACTCGATGAGTTCCAGGGCGTCTGCCAGTTCAGGCTGGCCCTTGCGGATCAAGATCGGGTGTAGCAAGTACAGAACCTCAAGCGGGCTCAGTTTCTGGAAAAGCCCGCGCTGCTTCTTGTCGAACTTTGCCGGTGCATCGTGGGTCCCGTGGCAGTAGCGGCAATCTGCCCCCAACTGGCAATGCCCCTTCCCGAAGTGCACGCACGGACGCACGCAAAACTCCGGGTGGCCGAGGCTCCCAAGGTGTTGAGGAACTGGCGGCACTGGCGGAGGATCAGCCAAAACAGCCGGAACAGCCGGAACGGCCGGCGCGGCCAGAACGGCCGGAACGCTGGCGGCGTTGGGCTCGTTATGAGCCAGAGGTGTTGGGACAAAGGCGTCGTTCTCGTTCGATAGCGCTCCTGCCAGGACCAGCTCGACTACCGGAAGAAATTAGGACAAGCCTCTTGCGGCAAGGCTTTCCTGAAAAACCCCAGCGTGTCCTGAACCGGGAGCTGTTGCCGGGGAACGTTGGGGACCCTGGTAGGCCCACCTGGCAGGCAGAAAGTTGGCGGCTGGTCTGAGCAAGGACCTATAAAGATCTCCTGCCTCTGCCTCAGTCTGTGATTGAACTCCTCCATATCGGCCTGCAAGCAGGGTGCTTCAACACAGACACCCCGGAAGAAGCCCCAGCGCCAGCATCGCCAGAAGCGCCGGCAGCCCCCAGAAGCCCCCAGAAGCCCCCGGAAGCCCCGAAACCCAGAACCGCAGGCCCGTCCCGGTTCCGCCTTGTACTTGGCCGCCTCCTCATCTGGCAGGCTCGCGAGCTCAGGCGTGCTCACGGCCCGCCGCAACGCCGCTCTTGAATGCGGTCCTTCTTCTTCGGGTTCCTGCGATCGGGGGAGAAGCCCAGAGGAAAGAGGAGTCGCCACCTAGCAGCATGCTTTCGCCTGCAAAAAAAGGCCTTCAAACACATGCCTTATCATGCCCTTGAACCTCTGTGCAGGAACCGCTGTCCAGGACATCAATGAACGTGAAGCGGTACACAATCTCCATGACTCTGCTTGTCCTGTCCGCAAGGATAAGGCTCTGCAAACCACCCCTCGCAACCCTTGCAAACACTCACAACCCTCTTTGGGGGTTTAGGATTTCAGGTTCTGTTCTGCGGAAAGTGCTCCTGCTGTTACTGCCGCTGTGGCTCCAACTCCGAGTACGACGTCGACGATGACTTCGAACACTAAATGCTGGTACCAGCTGTGCACATACGGGCACAGGGCAAAACCACGTTTGGGAGAAAACCCTGTGCCACGAGAACAGTGCGACTCGATGCGTTGATAAACAGTTCCTGCTACTCTCATGGTCTGAAGAAAAAACTGCCCGCCGTGTCACAAACTCCGACATCATGCTCCTGCTTCTTGCTGGGGTAACGAGCTTGGGGTGACAGACGCTCTGCAATCCCATCCCTTCCCAGCCTTGACCGACAAAAAGCTGCCGAGCGGGCAGAACACGCAGGACACTCAACTCACCCACGTCTGCAGAGCCGATAAGGCGTAGTACGGGTTGGGGTCTCCTGGGTTGTATGGCTTAGGGTTTAGGGGGCACGTCAGCATGTGCCGCCCATGCCATCACGACGGCTGTTTGCTGCTTTGCTCTACTATCTGCATACACATCCAGGGCAAACATGAGCTCAAACCGAACCAACATCACACGTTGGACATGATGCTCTTCGAAACCAGATGTGATAGCTGTTGGGCCTGTGCCCAACTTTGTCGTTCTAACTGGTACACTACGCGCTGTGCATCTCAATGGATTCCATGTCACGTATCCTGCTTCTACACATGACGCATTTTTTGGTGAAGGAGGAGTCGATAAGAGCCGTGCCAGAGGCTGAAAACAACTTCCAGAAGAAGGCAGCGAAAATTGCAGCTGTCGGACTGCCGGGGGGGCTGCCAGCCCCTCAGATCTCAGGGCTCACGTCTGCGGCAACTTCTCCTGGGAAGTCATCACTTTTCATGACACCATGCAGAGAAAAACGAATCGTAACTGCAGTAGCACACGAAAAGCCGAACAAAAACACTGCTAGCCATGCTATAAAGAGTCCCGAGCCAACTGAGTAGTTTTCATCATCGCCTGACTGGGACGTCATTGGACACATCAAAGTCGTGGGCTTGCCTGGGTTTGCCTGGGTACCCTAAACCCTAAACCCTAAACCCTTCACCTGGGTTTGGCCCTCTGGCCTCCCGCAAATCAGCGGAGCCGTTCAAACGCTGCGGAAATTCAACCCGGCTGCGCCTGGACAACGAGCACCCACATTCTTGCGCCGGCACTGTCTCACGCGGTTACTGTGCTATTCTAGGTCAATTCTAGGCTGCCTTAAGAACAAGGCTGACAGCATCGGACAACTTCCCGAATGGCCTCAAACCATCTGGCATCTGACAAAGGACATCAAACCCATAACGGTCCACTGAAAGCATGGTGGCTTTGGCAGCCGAGGGAAGACCTGCAAACGCCTTGGCCATGTCCAAAACTGCATCAGCATGATCCTCGTTGCAGTGCTCCACCGCGTTTTTGACGGCGTCCGCATCCGCAGCAACAGGATCAAACTCCGCAGATGCAAACTCCTGCCCGGCAACCCAAGACATCTCGCCAAAGCCACCAATGTACCGGATGGAGCTCACAGACATCTCGAAGCACAAGAAATCTTCGAAATGTACGTATGATGCATTGGGATGAACAGACAAAAACGCCTTCTTCGCGGCGTCTGTCTTCTCAACCTGCAATGCTTCCACCAGAAGTGCAGCTCGCGCAACAGCAAGGCGATCACCTTTGCCTTGGACTTCTGCAACCAGCACGCATGCCCGGGGGTTCTTCAAAAGATTTGCTGTATGTTCTGCCAACCTCGAAAGAAAGGTCACAATACGAGCGCCGCCCTCGGCGACAGAACGCGCTTCTGTTGCAAAGTTCACAATGCTTCCGTATGGCCAGCCAGTTTCATGATGCACTGTCGAGAGCGTGCCACTGCTGGTAGTGCGAAGCATCGTTCGAACCTTCTCTGCATGGGATAGCCTGCGCGCATTGTTCTCGAAATACGCTACAGCCGAACTTCCTTCCTGCTTCAGGGCATCTGGAACGGCATGTCCTTGACGGCGACTGCGCTTCAGATCAGCAGAGGCATCTGCGACACCAGCCATGACCAAACGGGCATTAGTGGGTGTGTGTGGCGCTGCCACATGCCGACAAAGAATCAGCAAACGGCGAGCGCAGCTGATTGAAACCATCGCTGGGAACCGATGAGCTCCTAATGCTATGTCAGAAAAGCAGATCTCTCGCCATTGCCGTGGCTACAACTCTTTTCATACTTCCGTTTAACTTTCATGGCACATGTTCTGCAAAATTATGTATTTGAGATCTGGCACTGAAATGCTCGGATGCAGAACGCTTCAAAATTTCAACCCAACATCTTCTTGAAATTTCAATGTCTGCAAAACTGCTGGATGAGGAAACACATGTTCTTTGCGGTTGCTGAGAAATGCTTGGAGCCTGTCCACTAAGGCCAAGTTTGGCAGAATCATGACATGGGCCGAACAGACACAGCTCAAGACGAGCAGCACCTATTGCAAACGCTACCAGATTGATGGTGGCCGTGTGTAGCGCGAGAGGTTGCATGGTCAACTCAGAACATGTGCGTACTTTTTGACTAGTTTGCGAGCCTATCCTACGATTTGCTTAAGAAGCCCCCCAAAAAAATTCCCATATTTCCATTTTACGGAAGAATAAGCATTCGTAGTATCGTGGACTTCTCCCAGCCAGCGCGTGGTCCGCCGGAACGGGGTGAGCAACCCTCAGTGTAATGGTCTCTGTGCACAGGCCCATGCACTCGCTGTTCAAAATGTCAAAAGAGGCTCTCAAACGACTCCAGCGAATGAACCGACTTGCTTGCAAGCAACAGGCTGATTGAGCGGATAGGAAATGCGATTTCCTTCTAGAAATCAGAGCGTGTTGCCGCGTTGCCAGCGAGCAACATTGACACTGCACGTTCGACCTGGCTTTGCATGCTGGGTTTAAACCCCCCCCCACTGTGATTACAGGTGGCTCTCGCTTCTCTCAACCTGCCCTCAGCCGGATGCATCGCACATGTTTTCCATGGTCCTGCAATCGTAACAGCATAACGCAAAATGACTACAAGGGGCCCCTTTGTTTTGGGCCACAAAAACATCGGAGCACACATATGCTTCGGAAGTGCCAAATCTGAAAACTTTTGAGACTCACGAGCACAGCTGCGTCGGCACATGACATGAGACATGACTGTAAAGCTTTTGGGCAAACAAACTATCCCACCACATAAAGTCTTCACAAGGAAAATACATGGTTGAGTGTCCCCATGCATGACATCGAAATCGTATCACCCCGCCAAAGGATGATCTGCCGTGCTACGCAAAGCATGCTTTCAGAACGATTCGGTGGGAGCTACTGCTATACATGCCCAGAGCGAAACAGCCAACAAGCCTCACATCAGCAAGTGCAATGCAACACTCGTTTTGTCCTTTACTGCCGAGGGCGGACGTACCGCACTCCAGGGCCGCCACCATTTTGGTGGGCTTTGTACAGGCCTACAGGCACCTCCTAACCTTTGACCTTTGGGCACCTTGCGAGCTCATGGCTCCAAGCGAGTTTGCTTGCCAGCTCCGCAAGCTGCAAGAACTTTCAACATCACACGGCTGTGATGTGCAAAGGAGAGGTTACCGGCCACATGCAGAATTTGCCAGTCTCTTAGAGATTTGAGTTTACTCCACTGCAATTCAAGAAAATTTGCACACAAGCTCAGGTACAGTGGTACCAGCCAGCGACTGCATCCACAAGAGACATCATGAGCATTTCAAGAAATTGCGTCTATCTAATTCTGCTTCATTAAAACACACATGCAACGAAAAGATGCGGGTCATCGTGATTGGGCTCATTTAAGTATCATCATGCGGCTCGGGCTCTGGAAGGATCTGAAGCATGGGATTTGGCAGTTGCTGGCCATGCACATGCAGAATGTGGTACATGGTGGCCAATCGTGCAATGTCCTGGCGACGTGTAAGCTCTCGAGTCCACAACTGTCACAAGTAACACATGTCATACTGACCAGGAAACTCAAACTGCAGCTGGCCATACGTCAGTCTACGAACCTGACGGGCCCTTCTAAGACCATCGCACTCACCAAGAAGATGAAAGCGGATTCCACTTCTTGGGGCAATCCATACATCAGCATCTTCCCTCACCCGAAGGATGTCATCATCCTGCAGCAATGCAGGCTGCTGCATGTTCGCTGTCTGACCAGCTGGAGTCACAGGAATAGCTGGAACATCTATAGCTGCGGCGTCACCAACCGGCTCTGAGTCTGGCTGCTCAGATTCAAGTTCAGATTCACTCGGTGTCACAGGCGGTGACCGACCGAGGATCTCTGCACGAGTTCGCTAAACCAAGACCACGCCTATCGTCAGAAAGCACATCAAGGTTTTCTGCAAGAGCAGGTGCTTCGGCTCGCAACAATGGCTGCTGAGCCTCTGCTGCTTCAAACCTAAACCTAAACCACAAAGACAAAGCTGATCCACGGGCTCGAATCCTCGTCAGTCGACACTGGCGAGTCAGGTACACATTGTGCTCGCACTTCATCCGCAGCCTTGTTGCGATGACCTGGACCAACAATGCAAGCAATTGCAACGCCTCGGCATTTCCACAATCTGTGCCCTCACAGCACGAAGAAACTTCTTTGCCTGCTCACGGCGCTACTGCTCCAAACTCAGTCGTCCCACAAGAGAAAATCCGTCATGCGAATCCCAAGGACGTGGCTCAAAGTGCGGATACGGGCCCCTCACAAAGACTTTGTAAACAAGTCAGTTGGATTTGTCAAGGTCGGCAGCGATGCTTTCTTCCATTTGAACAGGAAGTCCTGTCGCCGTCCACATCCCTGTCTGCCCATAATGCCGCGAGCTGCACTTGAATCTGTGAACAAATGCATGGACAAATCGGTGTGTAAGATGTGTTGAAGACACACGAAGGAAGATGCCGTCGCATGCTGCGCTCACGCATGCAATTTGTTCACTTTCGGCTTTCGCAGCTTTGGCTTCTTGAAAACGTGTGAACAACCATGCCGTCAAAAGGCAATGCATCCTGCAGGTGCTCTTTCTTGTCGATCGGTTCCCTGACCAATCAGCATCAAGCGAACACCGATAAAGTGTAAGTGTCATCGGACGATTGGCTAATGCTTACCCTCAGTTCGAAAGCAAGTGATGATTCTCATGGAAGAGGAAGCACAAGTGGGCATTAAATGACGTGCTCGCCATCATGTCCAACCCCCAAAGCAACGTTCCACAAGCGGAACCTTCCGTGGACACAGCTTGCACCCTTGACGATGTCAGATTGGCGACACAAAAGTGCATTGAGGCACTTCTGTCTGTGTCCAGCGATTATCCTGCAGCCCATTTTGGCATAAAGATGCTGAGCAGCATGTGTGGGAAGCAGACATCCGGTGAAGTGTATTCTTCAAGAAGTTGATCTCATCACCAGGTGCTTTAAGGTTTGCGATGTTGACGACGTTGACAGTCCGGATCCGCCTCCTCACAGGGTAGGCTTCTCTGAACTCATTCGGTCTGAATACACAAGGTTCCAGTTCACAGGGATAAAAGTCAAATCCAAACTTACTGCTGGGCACTCACGTTCTGACAGCCAACCAAGGACCATACAACGGACTCGCACCACAAGGTACAACTCCGCTGCGTGAAAACCGAAGGTCCCTCTGGTACCTTTTCTCTTAAAAGCACAAAACCAAACTGTCTCAACCAAGTGCGGACATGCTCTTTTTCACTCGTGGCCTTGAGCCAAAAGAAACCTTCCAGGTGTGTGTTTCAGGCAAAACCATCACCGAATCAGCTTCTTGGATCTGTAATCCGCCAGCATGTACATCGGAATCAAGACTATTAAGCAACTTCACACACATGCTCAATCTTTCGCACGATTTCCGGAATGCTTGGCGCTTTCACGGTTTGGTTTACCAACTGCGATCGGAAATATAGGCATTCAGCTCGTGATTTCAGGCAAAATTCCTTCGCCAACAATCTCAATGCCACAAAGCCAGACTGTTGATAAGTGCTTTCAACATACATTTGCAGAATCAGAGAACTCTTCTCATGACTTGCAAACGGCAGAATGTGCATCAATCGCGTCGAACGCTTCTGTTGTTCCACAGTAAGCCGATCCTGCTTCAGCATGGATTCATCTTGGTCTTCAACTGCATGCATCAACTCGTTGGGAAACACTTCAGAACCCAATCCGACCCAACTGGTCAACTTCTCCATCCAGGTCAGGGGCCAAGCGCTTCTGAAATGCGATTCTTCCATGACGAAAAGTCAATGGTCGGCAAACTGGGTAACCACTTGTCTGATCGGGCAACACATCCGTCCCAACAAGGAAAAGAAGGGCGACGAAGAAAAAGGAAAAGGCAAAGAAAAGAAACAAAAAGGCAAGCGTAAGTCCAGCAAAGTGAAAGACAATCTCAAAGCCAGAACAGGAAAGACTTGGAGTGCTGTGTGTGTCACGGAAAGGGACATTATGCCCCGATTATTGGGACAAGGATGGAGAAACGGCCAACAAGCCTGAATTCCCGAGTGCTAAGGTGAAAGCCAAGGCAAAAGGAAGTCCCAAAGAAGAAGGCTGAAAAAGAAAGCCTAAAGGCAAAGGAAAGGGCAAGAAGAAGACAGTTGTTGAAGTCTCCCAAGAGGGCAAGTCAAGTGAACCATCTGGTTGGAGGTGAATGGAACGAGCCTGAGTTAGAGGCCCAAGTGGAATCTGTGTTGCGACCTCCAGAAGACCTGCTGGTGAGGAAGAACTGGATCCTTCGGAGCCCTGATGAGGTAGACTGGTCGTGGGAAGCTGAGACGAGAGTCCGAATTGCTGAGTTGGAGCATCGGATCTCCACAGATCTCTCTCAGATAAGACCTTCTAATCCAGTTTAATCCCTGATGGGACCTCCAACAATGAGTCAGGTTAAGAGTCTAAGGATGGTGCAAGCCGATGGTGGTTGATCGACTCAAGCGTTGGCGGAAAAGATACTTGGATAAGTTCCAGATCTTGGATCGGAAGGCGTTGGGACCCAATGAGAGGAACTAGCAGCCAATGATGCTCCGGTGATCTTCGAGCGAGTCGCATTCAAGCTTTGTTGCCGATGTATGAAGGACAACAGTACCTGGTTTGATTTTGGTGTATGTGACTGGAGTTGTTGCAGATGTGGCACACA